AATGAGCGCAAAGAAAAGTGCTGCAGACCCCCATCAGTCCCTTTCAATCCACATGTGACACTGTTGAATTGCTATTAATGATATAATTAGATCACATTTGCTTCATGCGAATCCAGAAAAATCTCCCGGTGGTTGCTGCCTGAAGACCCTCAGGAACGTTAGAAGTCTCAGAGCAACAGAGATTCGACAAATCAAATGATTTCTAGGCTTATACAGGTGAGTGGAATTTTCCAGTAAGTCTGTGATCCAGTTTTCAAGGACAAAAAAAGTATCACTGTTAGAGAATCTAAGTGATAAAACTAGAGCTTCTGCTAGGAAATGGCCCAAATCGTACTGTATGCCTGATCTGGACAATTAACTAGCTTTGGGCCGTCTGTCTTTAAAGATGAGCCTGAGTCTGAAAGTGTAAATTTGGATAATTTAAAAGGCCTAAAACTGGAGTTTAATATAGTGTTTGCTGTGTTAGGAAGTATTCTGTAGCGCAGCATCACGTTCCTCAGTCTCATCTGTTTGACAGAATTCATAGTTTTATATCGTTCAGTTGTTTCGGTTCATCAGCGTTCTCTCACTACAATACCCAGCATGCATTGTGGTAATACGCCATATAAACGTTGAGAATCCCTGTTGTGTCCACCAATCATCATTGCTAGCCTAGCCACTGATCTGATAAATACATACAAGCTAACAAAACTGTAAAGAAAACTGATTTTGTCTTCACTGAGCACACAATGGACTCCAGGTGACGTTTTTAACCTTTCAGCCTGAGAAATGAAAGCCTGTGGTTAGGTTTATTTAGCCTGGTAACCTTGCTTTACCTTAAACGTTTAGCGTTTATTTTGTTGTCCTCCTGACAGGTCTGACAGGTCATTTTTATCATTTGAGTCATCCATTTACCTTTTTTAAAATCCTTTTAGCTAGAGAAAGGAGCCAAGCTGAGGTAAGGTTTATTTAGCCAGGTATCCTTGCTTTAGCTTGTTCTTCTCCTCTGACAAGACGTTTCAGTCAACTGAGCAATCCATTCTCTCTTTTTAAATGATCATTTAAGAAGAGTTTCCGCAATTACAGCATTAAGCTGTTCGGCTTCCTAGCAATAACGTTAGCTTTCTGGCTTCCTTCTGTATTTGCCAGCTAATGGGAAAAAATGACTTTTCAAACAAGTTCCTCCCACCTTCAACATATGTCATCAGAGAGTGTTCAAGTCTTTGAAGTAGAAAAACTCACACTAGGAGGCAAGCAAGGATATTTCCAACAGATGAAGAAATGGTTAATTTTTGGGTTTTGGCTGGAGTGTTTACATGCTAACCACATGTAAACCACACGGTCAAGTGTGAAACAGTAAAAACATGTCGGGTCAAATCATAGTTTCATCACAGGAATGATATATAGTTTCCACAGAACAACAGTGCTAATAGTGCTCATAAATACAGTACAATACATTACACTGAATTTCTGCATAATTGCATCATTAAGATGTAAACTAAGTCATTCAGAGTGGTTTGGTGTGAAATGCTTTGTTCTAGAGTAACTTACCAGGTCAGAGTTATTCACAGTGGTAGTGATAGGAACCAGACATCTTCCTCTGATCATGGCCAAATCAAAGGGTGACCTGAGTGTCTGCCCAGGGTCACCAAAGGTTCCTCCAAAAAAGTGCACATTTTAAATGACTTTAATGATCTAATAATTTAATGTTTTGGAACATTCAGTTACTTTAAATGCCAGAACAGTCAGTTTAACAATCCAGCCATAAATATCCAAAAAGCATATTAAAAGTTGACGGACAGTGACATCTATATGTGATCATTTTCATTTCGGCATCTTATTTGATGTGCATTGTGACATCAATGATCTTCAAAAGCAAGTTGATGCTCTCTCTTTGGCAAACCCAACCGATCTTACCAAGGTCTTAGCTGATTAACTCTTTTCCAATTTAGAACCAGAACCACAGCCCCTGGTTCCTATCACTAACACTGTAAATTTCTCTACATCAAACCACTCTGAATGACCTTGTTTACATCTTATTAATACAGAATTTTTTTGAAAAATCAGTGGAATTTCCCTTTAAATACAGACCAGACAGAGCCAATGTACAATAGGAAAGCGCAAATGTACTTAGCAGCTTTCACTATAATGTTAAATGTATTGTTCAACAGCAAAATCTGACGAAATCTAACATAAATAACTGCATTGTTAGATGTTGTTGTGTAAACTGTTCTTTGTAACAGATTTGTATTTGTATGTATTTGTTTATTTGACTGACAGCAAACATTGTTACTGAAAATGCACCAAACGTTATGTAAATAGTGCAGATTTAAAGCCATTGCACTGTACAGTCAGCAGAACAGGTGGTGAACCTGACTGCTGCAGGTTTGGAGGGGCATCCGGTGTCACACTACACACGCAGGAACAGACACACTCCCGTTTCTGGAGACGGGGTCTGAGAGGGGCCTCCAGGGGGAACCACAAAGAGTTAATGTTAAATTTAGCCAGCTCCACAGGGGCTGTGGTTTTTTTCCTGATACCTAATTAAAAACATTAATAATGATGCTTTATCTGGTCTCCAATTTTCAGCCCTATTAAGGTTGCTCCCATTTGGGTTTGTCTTTGCTCTCACAAATAGGTCACACCAAGGTCTGAAAGTTGGAGAGCAGTCTCCAGGTATCATTCACAGATACAGATTTTATCATGAAATCATCCACTTCTGTGTGTAAAGAAACAACTGGGAGTTCTACTTTCACTCTGTTCATGTATTGTACCTCCTTTCTAGGGAGAAACATCAAGGATAGGAGGACAGGAACCTCATCAATCTACAGCAAATCTGCACCAAATAGCTCCAAATAGCACCAAATAGCGATCGCAAGATTGAATACAGATTCATCACAGTAGGATCTGTAATGTACATTCATTTATAGTCAATACTGTCAGCATTTCCCTTTCAGTACAGCAACACCATAAAGAAAGGCAGGTAAAAAAAAAAAAGACCTTCTGCTTTAAATGGAGAACACATCTTCACTGGTTTCAATTTCTGTAGCATGTTGCTAAAACTTATGTCTGAGCAAATCTAGCACTGACAAAGAATGTATGCATGATAAAAAATAGCACCATGTAATCAACTACTAGAACAGCACAGACAAATGTGTGGGCAGCTAGTTTGTCTGGATAAAAGTACATAAAACACACAAAGTATTACATACACGGTATGAAATGTATTTGTCCCCATTGACACGACCACATTCTGTACAAGTTATACATTTTTCAGCATCAGTAAAAAAAAAGAAAACATATTTAACAGTAAATTACACAGAAGCCTTAACAACTAAATATCTGCTTTTTCAGTATTTAGTGCTTCATTACGGAGCCCTGCTTTCAGTCTTGAAAGAAATCTGCAGGGATGTTATGTTCATGCCTCCAAAGTTCAGTCTTAGAAGTTGGTTGCATTTTCAGCTTCTCACAATTCAGCTAATCCCAAACGCATTCAGTGATGTTGAGGTCTTGAATGAAATGAAATTATGAATAACTTGAACTTAACAGACGTTTTGACTGGGAATTAAATAAATGAAGAGCGATCTCTGACGTTTTCTCAACACTGTAAACTGATAGCAATAAAATTCTACTGAATTCTACTCATTTGACCCAGCAAGCATTTTGTATCATTTGGTCCAGTCTCTTGAAAAAAAAGGTCCTTCTTGGAAAAAAGAAAGTAAAGTCATCAGTCATCAGTGTGACATTTAAAGCTATTTACACAGTGTTTATTTACAGGGCTTACTATGTTACTGTACTTAAATATCAAGAATAACATCCAACATATTAGTCTAACATGCAACTGTCAACAATTCTGCTAATTCATTTTTGTACAGCCCATTAGTCACCATCATACACCACCAAAAAAATGGTAATTTTATGGCTTAAAATGATTACATTTTACATTTATGTATATTTTGGCTCCATACTTCCACTATTAATTGAGTATATATGGCATATGCACCTGTTTTACTCTACGCACTCATTTACTACCACATATATGGATCATTCTACCAAACTGGTTCAAAGTCAGTGCATTTTGTCACTACCAGTACAATTTAACTATGTTTTAGTACTGATAATTTTAGCTAATTTTGAGAATAACTTAACGCTTAGCCAGTACTAGCAAAACACAATTTTAAACAGTTGTGCACACATAAAATCATAATAATTTTCATAAAAAAAAAAGTTTACTTGACTGCAGAAAATCTGTGCTTCCGTTGTGGCAGTTCTTAATGTTAGACAGTGATTTTCAGACTTGGAAACACATTTACTACTAAAACTGTGTTTTGGTAGTTACATGAAAACATGGGGCAGCATTTTTGTTTTTATTTCAAGTTTTTTTTTGTTTACAACTAAAACTCATGATAAATCTAAATCTTTCAACTTCACTTTCAAAGAAATCTAAACGATCTTTAAAAAACATTAAAAAATACAAAAAAAAATTAATTCTTATTTTCACAAGTTGAAGTTTGGGGGGTTAGGGTTTGGGGCAGACACCTCCCAATAGAAAGCACCCTATAAATTATGATTTTGTAAATATTTACCTTATTATTATCTCAGTGAATGACTTGGGTTTAAATAGATCATAAACATAATCCTTGTAAATATCTAAGGTCTGAATACTTCATTGTTTTTTTAATAGTTTTTACTGTGGGACCTCAGTTTGAACTAATTCAGTAGAATGGTCCATATACACCACAGTTCTGTTTGTCTCTTGTGAAGTTTCTCACTGACTTCAGCTGAGTAACCAAGCTGGGTCTAGTCAGAGTTCGCTTGTTGGCTTTGACCTCTGCCCTATTTCTGCCAGTCTGCCTATTTCTGAAGCCTGTTTTTCATTCCCAAGCTTGCCTGCCCTTGTGTATCCTGGAGGCTCTGTTCTATTCAGAACTGCATTAAATTCTCATCCGGATTTCATAGACTGTCAGCTATTTTGGTTTTTGTGTATAAGTGACTGAGGGAAATGCCTTCAGTAAATGTGCTAGTTTCCTGCCTCCTCTCATCAGGAACCTGAGGTATCCTGGTCCATTTCATTGTCAGGAAGGGTCTGGGTTAAATCTGTGGGCGAGTCGAGGAGATCACATTCAAAATTCTGGAGGTGCTCGAATGTCAAACCCCTAGCTGATTTCTCTGGCCGCTCCGGGTGGTCCTTGAGATGAAGGATGGGCTGAATGGGAGCCTTCGTCAGCAGCTGAGAGTCAAAAGAGATGCTGCTGAAGAATTTCTGCCTTTTGAAGCGTTCCAGCAGCGCAGGCGACGCGTGGGAGTCTTACACAGGAGCTAACCTCGGAGAAAACAGCATGAGATTACGAAGACCTGTGTCTGGCTTGAGGCCAAAGTCTAAAAATGTAAAACCGTGGATACTGTGTACCTCTGTGAGCAGCAGGGCCAATCCAGGACTGAAGCTTGGAGGCATTTCATACAGGTGGTCAGTCACCTTGGTCAGCATGCTTCTGTGATCTGGCTCTGGAAGAAGAGGAAACTAAAAAAGAAAGTAAAAGGTTCAGTCAGTTTCAGCACAGATCAAGACACATTTAGGGGAAATTTTCAAACCCTATTAAGTCTAAACCTAGACTGGAAAGAATTTTCAATGGACTTGTACATGTAAACATGCTGTACTGTGCAAAACTCAGAGAACACCCTTCGTTCATTACATTTCCAGTCCAAAATGGTCACTACGTACAAGTTATTCATTATGCAGGGGATACTTATGGGGTGATTAGGGATAAGATAATCCACTTGCTTACTAACAGGGAAAGACAAAGCAGAACAAGTGAAAAAAAACCGAAGTTCCCAAAACTGTTTTTATGAAAGGATACAGAAAAAATGGGACTCCTAACAATCAGCTAGGACCTGGTAGACCACCAAAACTGTCACCATAAGGTAAACAGAACGTAAAGCTTTCATCTTTGAGAGAGAGGAGAAAATCAAGCTCCACTCTTACTTCAGATCTGAAAAATCCACAGCTGTTTCTGTCCATCCTTCCTCTGTGAGAAGACAACTCAACACTATGAGTCTGAAAGGATGCGTAGCTGTTAAAGTAAACAGACAAAAAAGAAGAACATTTCCAAATCAAGCAAAGAAGCTGCTGGTTGTCTCAGAACAACGGACTGACCACCCCAGAGTCCAGAGCTCAACATCACTGAATGTTGGGGTTACTTGGATCGTGAGAAGCAGAAAATGCAACCAACTTCTAAGACTGAACTTTGGAGGTTTGGAAAAATATGTCTGCAGATTTCTTCGAAATACTGAAAGCAAGTCGAAATATGGAAGAATGGAAGCTGCAATAAAGGCAGAGTGGACACTTGATTGTTGATTGTTTTGTATAATCCTCTTTTAAATGCATGTTTTTTTTGCCTTTTTCCTAACAGTATAAAACAGCTTGTACTTAATGGTAATTTTGACTGGAAATGAAAGAAATGAAGGGTGGTCTCTGACTTTTGCACTGTACTGTAGTTTAAAGGAAAGGCTTATTGCCAGTCAGGAGTGACCTGAATGCTATCCTTTCGCTTTTTATTGTTAAAACTATTTGTAAATTGCTATACTGGCTCACTTGCATGCAAATAGCTGCCTTGTATCTCTATTTGTCTTTGGTATTTGCCTTTTAGTTTAGTCTGCTAATGGCTTTAGGCTTCAGAGACTATAAAATAGCCAGTTGCACACTGACCTTTGGGTTAATTAATGTGCATTGTCCCAAACAGACAGACAGAGAGACAGAGAGATACATACGCAGGCAGATAGAGAAATGGACTGATAAACATACAGACAGATTAGAGTATCTTACCACTCCAGCAGCAAGGGCATATAGCAAGATGCCAAGGGACCACCAGTCTGAAGCATGACTGTAGGGACCCCCACTAAGGACCTCAGGAGCTATTCAGGAGCAGAATATAGCATCTAAACAACTATCTGCTGTCTATAAGACAATGCAGTCAAAGCCTATTAAATCTGTTTCACAAAGGCGTGAGACGATAAACCATACACTATGAATCCTTGATAAGCAACAATAAAAGAATAGTCACATGAACAGAGAGTTGGTTTAGTGTTGAAAGTCTCACCCATGTATTGTATTGTTCCACAGATTGTAAACGCTCTCTCTCCGCGCTCGAGCCGACGAGACAGGCCGAAATCAGCCAGGCGGAGGTGACCTGAATCAGACAGCATTAATATTTCACCAGCATGCCTGCGCACTATTTTAGAAACAGTTAAAGGGGAATACAGTTGTTTTTCAACTGTTTAAAGTCTGGCGTTACTATTTGGGATGTGTAGAGAACAGCTGGAGAAACAGTTTCCTCTGCAGATAAAAAGGGAGAAAATTGGCTTCAATATATGTGGTTTAAGCATATATTACATGTTACAAACATGCATGTCTGGAACCCCCACAAAAAGCCAGACAAAGAGAAAGCAAAAATTTGACAGTCTAACAGCACTAATTCAAAAATTCATCTCAGAAAACTGTCTTAAGTACTAATTGGGCAAGATTAGTTTGCCATGAAGTGCAAACAGTTTTGCATATAATGAGTTTTTAAAAAAAGGACAAACGGAACATACATTGGTATTTCTTGTATGCATAAAGCCTACTGGCAACAATGTATATCATGACAAAATAATTCTTGAAAGAGGTTAATAATGTATTTCGGAATGAAACCCTCCAAACCTTTCACAGTGTCCCATATCTGCAATGTCAATAATTCTTATTGTCTGGAATGAAAACCTGCAGCCATACCAGACCTTTATGGATAAGACTGGTGACCCCTGGCCTAAAATGTAAAAATCTAAACATTAAAACCCAGAAGACACTCATGAGGAGCAAAATGTTGGCAGCGTTAGGTAAGTTATTGTGTACATTAGCATAGGTACAGCTTACAAACCCTAAATGTTTTGCACTTGGCAACAGTAATTTATACAGAGATCCTGTGATAACATTACTTCACAACAGGGGTGTAGCCATGGGTGGGCATAGATTGATCACAGGCCTACACAGTCAAACGGGGAAGAATATTTATTAAGCTGAATTTTTAAGATACTGAATTTTCATTTACCTTCTGTGAGTGCTGTTATTTATTTTGGCAAATTAAATCATTACGCTCTCCACCAAGTTTTTTTTGTCAGCCCTGCAATCACCGTATAGCATCCATTGTACATTATACATCTGAGCTTTCTGATTTTACCTTAGTTATGCCATCTTCACTGGGCTTAGTCAGCCATGAAAATTGTTTAAAACAATTTATTTTGACAGTGTGTGTTGTGCAAGTGAAAATACTGTATATTTGTATATATTCTAATGTTAATCACAAATGCTGTGAAAGAATACCAGACTTTTTGTTAGAGGAATTCAACGCAGGTTTGGTTTCTGACTTTTGCTGCACTCCAGTCTATGCACTCCATGGATTTATTCAATTCTAACAGCAGCACTTGTTTTTAATTTAATGAAGAATTCACAGTTATGAAGCAGCTATCGGACGGTAACTGTAAATACTGGACTTCTTCGAGAAGAGGTCTGGAAATTGTTAAACTAACACACTGATTCCCAAAAAAAAAAATCACACTGATTGTTTATTTGTTTTTATTCTAATGTTCATGTTTTTACAACAAATAAATTCTTACCGCTCAGATAAATGGCTAAATACTTTCTCATATATCTCAGACTTTTGAACCGCAATGTATACTCAGAAAACTTATCCTCTCTGAATTGTACTATGGCTGAGCTACATCAGTGATTTTTCTGGCTTCACTTGCTGCACTTATGTTTTTCTGTGTGGCTGCTTAGGAGACAGTCCTGATGGGCAATGTTGGGGCAATGTCATCTGATTGTTGTCATCCAAAACTCCTTTCCAACACAACGCAAAAGATTTCTCTCTGAACTACGACCCCATTTCCAAAAAAGTTGGGATGCTGTGCAAAATGCAAATAAAAACACAATGCAATCATATGCAAATCATTTAAACCCTATTTTAATTGAAAATAGTACAAAGACAACATATCAAATGATAAAACTTGGATATTTTGTTGTTTTTTGATAAATATATGCCCATTTTGAATTTGATGCCAGCAACATGTTTCAAAAAAGTTGGGACAGGAGCACGTTTACCACTGCATCACAGAATTTCAAATTGTGATTTGTCAGACCACAGGACACTTTTTAACTTAGTCCATCTTCAAAGAGCTTAAACCCAGAGAAGGCGACGGCATTTCTGGATCCTGTTTATAAGTGGTTTCTTCTTTGTGTGGAACTTTAACTTGCATTTGTGGATGTAGTGATGAACTGTGTTTACAGACAGTGGTTTTCAGAAGTGTTTCTGAACCCATGCAGTGATTACCACTACAGAGATGTATGATTTTAATGCAGTGCCGCCTGAGGGCCCAAAAGGGCACGGCCAGCCAGTTATGGTTTTCAGACTTATACCTGGCATAGAGATTTCTCTGGATTTTCTGAATTTTTAATATTATGTACCATAGATGATGAAATCTGCAAGTTCTTTGCTCTTTTACATTGAGAGACGTTATTCTTGAATTGTTGCAATATTCGCCTGCACAGAGTGGTGAACGCCTCCCCATCATTACTTTTGAAAGCCTCCCTGAAATGCTCTTTTTATACCCAATCATGTTACTGACCTGTTGCCAATTAACTGAATTTGTTGTAGGATGTTCCACCAGGGTTTTTTTAGCATTACACAGCTTTCCCAGTCTTTTGTTGCAACTTTTTTTAAACGTGTTGCTGCATCAACAGATGTACAGATGTAGCGGTTCTAGCCAGTCACTGCTCTCCAGACACTGAACAGCCAAAGTTCGACCTTTTTTTCTGCCCAGAGACTTTAGCTCAGACATCTTCACTATGGTCTACATCCCACCTCAGGCAGATAAGTCACATGCTTAGAAAGTTTTGTACAAGACCATTAATGAACTTGAACACTCACTGAGGCTGTTGGGGATTTTAACAGGCCAAACTTGAAGAAGGTTCTGCCCGAATACTATCAGCACATTAAATTCCCTACCCGAGGAGAACAGACTCTTGATCACTGCTACACTGCGCTCAAGGACAGTTGCAAACCCCTCCCCCGCCCTGTCTTTGGAAAGGCTGATCACACCTCCATTCTTCTCCTGCCTGCATACAAACAAAGACTTAAACAGGCAAAACTAGTTCTCAGATCAGTCTATCAATGGAGTGAGGAGGCCATCTTCACACTTCAGGACTGCTTTGACTCTTCAGACAAGAAGATGTTTTGTGATGCAGTTGGCATTGATATCAACAAATACACTGACTCCATCACAAACTACATTAATAAATGCACTGATGACATTATACCAAAAATCAATGTCAGAACATTTCCCAACCAGAAACCCTGGATCAATGTTGAGGTTCAAGGCAAACTAAGAGCTCAGGCTGCTGCCTACAACTCTGGGGACCTACAAGAAGGCCAGATATGACCTTCAGAGGACCATCAGGCTGGCCAAAAGGAACTACAGGGACAGAGTGGAATCTAACTACCCTGGCTCTGATCTCAGATGTATATGGTGTGGACTGTGCTCTATCACTGACTACAAAGGAGGTATGATCTGTGATAGGGGGTCATCCTCCTCACTTGCAGATAAGCTAAATGCACATTATGCTCGTTTTGAGGCAAATAACGCCTCCCATGCTGAAAAGACAGTTAACCCCTGCAAGGCACCTGGTCCTGACGGCGTCCACAGTCGTGTACTTAGAGCATATGCCAACCAGCTGGCTGAGGTTTTGCACTGACATCTTTAACCTCTCCTTAAGACTGTCAGTGATTCCCATGTGCTTTAAGGGAACCACAATTGTTCCAGTTCCCACAAAAAGGCTATCACCTGCTTGAACGACTACCGCCCTGTTGCACTGACATCAACAGTCATGAAGTGCTTCGAGCGGCTGGTCAAAGCTCACATCTGTTCAACACTTCCAGCCACCATGGACCCTCATCAATTTGCATACTGCTCCAACAGATCTGCAGATGACGCCATTGCACTGACAGTACACACTGCCCTCACACACTTGGACAGAAAGAACATGTGAGAACGCTGTGCACAGATTACAGCTCAGCATTCAATACAATCATCCCTGCCAAACTCATCCATACGCTCCCAGACTTGGTTCTGAACTCTCGTCTCTGCAATTGCATACTGGACGTCCTGACGAGCAGACCCCAGGTGGTGACAGTAAGAAACAGCTTCTCTTCCACACTGACTCTGAGCACAGGGGCTCCATGGGGATGTGTACTCAGCCCCCTCTTGTATTCCCTGTACACACATGACTGTGTAGCCAAACACACATCTAACATCATCTTCAAGTTTGCTGATGACACCGCCATCCTAGGCCTCATCACAGATTGAGACAAAACAGCCTACAGAGACGAGGTCAGCGCTCTGTCAGAGAGGTGCCATGACAGCAATCTCTGTCTGAACATCAGGAAAACAAAGAAGATGATTGTGGACTACAGGAAGCTGCAGAGGGGTGGTCACTCTTCCCTATACATTAATGGAGCCGAAGTGGAGAGAGTCAGCAGTGATAAGTTCCTCGGTGTACACCTCACTGATGACTTCACCTGGTCCCTCCACACAAACACAATTGTGAGATCTGCCCATCAGCGTCTCAGCACAGGCTCAGTAAGTTTGGACTGCCTCCTCCCATCCTCACCAGCGTCTACAGATACACCACAGAGAGCATCCTCATGGGCTGCAAACCCGTTAAGAGAGTGGTGAGGACAGCAGAGTCCATCATAGGCAACAAACTACCAGCCTTACAGGACATCTATCCGTCCTGTTGCCTGAGGAAAATCCAAAAGATGCGGTCAGACAGTAGTCACCCAGCACACAGCCTGTTCACCATGCTGCCATTAGGCAGCATCCAGGCTAGAACAACCCGGTTAATGAACAGTTTCTACCCACAGGCTGTCAGGCTTCTGAATAAGCTGTGAAGTTGTGAGTCCTTCCCCATTATCATTTCACTCTGTCACTTTGTTAGTATTATTTACTACATCATATCACTGCTATGGACAATATGACTTTAAAATATATATATATTCTTCTCAGATTATCCCTTGTTTAATATATTTGTACCTTGTAGAGAGTTTTCTTACATGGGTCCCCCCTGTGTCTGCACATTTTGTGTATATTTACTATATTTCAGTTATTCAGTAGTTTTTTTGTTGGTTTTTGCTTTGTTTTGTTTGCACTGTTTTCAGTAAGTATATAATGTATATAATGCTGCACTGCTGTAGAGTGATTACCTGTGCCTCACCACAAGCATTTCAATGCATGAATGTCCTGGCATGTTGTGCATAATGACAAATAAACATAAAACTTGTCTTTATTTACATTTTGTACATTGTCTCAATTTCTTTGGCAATGGGGTTTTACTAAAAAGCATAGAAGTCAATCCACCTCGCATCTCAGCTCACCGAGGGGCTTTCCAGTAATTTCATGAATTTCCATGAAAAATTTCAGGCAAAAACTTCAACTGAACTCGGGACCATGCAGCATTTCAAAGCTGTGCTCAGAATAGTTTTTTTAGTTATGAATCTTTAAAGTGTGTCCTATTAGGCTCTAATAGCATCTTTAATATTAGAATGACTGAAGTGAGCTGAAATATTAACTCAGTAATAAAGAGGATATTTAACTATAAAACAAATGGATTATTTCCCTTTGACCCTACATTTCCTTCAAACTTCTTCCTGTATAACAACAGTTATGTCTGACTAACAGAAAAAATTACTGATGTGCTGATTTCTTCATGGTTTAATCATTTTAATCATGACGTATTTGACAAAGAAGCACGATACTAACAAATGTTAAAACTGTAAATAGAGAAAACATTGGACTTCTACAATAACTATAATAATGTTCCAAAAAGTCTGTAAGCTTTTTTTTAAACATAAAATATTCTTCTATTTCTCAATATTTCTTGTAAAATTTGTAATTAAAAATAATTGCATGGTTGCATAAAGTTAAAGTTATTAAGTATGGGATGGTCTCATAGTAGAGTAGTATTATCACATAAGATGGAATTCAGTGCTATTTTTCGTTAAATAAGCACTTTACAGACAGCAGGGCTGGCAACACATACCATTATTGGCATGAAGTCTGTCAACCCACAATAGGATGGTAACCATCAAATATCCCAGAATGTGACCATATCTTCCGTATTAGGATAGACAAAATGGACTTGGCTGGTTCATTTCTTATGGACTACTTTGTGGCTTGACCTTTAATTGTAATTTCCTCATCATCACTGCTGCTGTGCAGCCCTCTAATGTTTCGCACCAGTACTGCAGTTAGAGACAAGAACCAGTTTACCTTGCTCAGTTAAAAGGATGTTCTCCATCTGCAAGACAAACAAATGACAACAACCAGTTTCATTATCAGCAATAATGCAGTTACTAAACTGAAAACTCATATCATAAATAAGCTCGTACCTTCACATCCCTGTGTATTATGCCAAAGTCATGGAGAAAACCTGTTAATTAAAGGAGCATTCCTTTCACTATTAAAGGTGTACTTATCAATTTTTCAAAATATCTACATAATTAATCTGCTAAAATGTAAAAATAAATAAAAATAAACTACGAAACGCTCATTCAATGCACACTTTGAGTTTTTATATGTAATGTTACATGAATTAAAGCATGTTTAAAAAGGTCTTAAGCTAAGATCTCATCTCATCTCAAAACTTTCATCAAGCATCAGGCAACATACTCATAACCATTTCGTGTCACAACTTCTGTGAGGAACCCTTCAGAGGCATTAAACTCTTCAACTGCCTGGTTCCTATCATCACCACTGTCAACAATTCTGATTCAGTATGTTTCTTCAGAAAGGAGCATTTCACACCAAAACTGCTCTGAATGACTTTGTTTACATCTTAGTGATGGAATTAATTTGAAAATTGTCGGAATTCCCCTTCAACATTTCTGTGATAGGATTTCATTTCAGATGTTGTCTCTGAGTGAACACAGTCATGAGTAATGTCAGAATGAATTCATATATTCCCTTTTAGTATGACTGAATGGGTCCTATGCTCTGATGAAACTGGATATCTGTGTGTGTGACTCACCTAACGCACTGCCGAGTTCAGCAGCAAACACACAAACTTCTTTCTCGCCAAACTGGCCACTCAGGGTCCAGTAGGTGTACAGATCTCCAGTGCTGCAGTAGTCGCACACTGTTGAAATAAAGAGAGAGATTTAACACAAGTTTCTCAAACTTGAATTTCTATATCAAGCTACATGTACACTGAGCTACCAGTTTATTACAGTCTTGTGCAAACATGTGGGCTAATTTCATGTTTTGTTGAGTGAAAATAAGTTAACACATCCTCTATAAAGAACACACGTCTACACATTGTAATACACAATTACTGTTTGTTTGCTGAATTTAACATATTGGGGGGGAAATACAACACAAAATATACAACATGTACAAAAGTTATGGCACATTTTATGTGGTATATTTTATTTTTACCAAAACATTAGATTCAACAAATAAACTACACTTGTGCACTACAATTTTCAGCCTCCCTGTAGAGGATGTGTTCACTTATTTTATACCTAGAAAAACCAACAAAACCTGTCATTTGACCAGCGGCATTAAAACGTTTGTACCTTCCTTGTAGCTACATTCATTTGCCAATTTATCAGAAACACTTACCATGTAACCAGTGAAAAGGGACCACCATAGGTCCACTTTTGATCAGATATTAGACAACGGAAGTCTCTTTCCACTGAGGCATAGTGTGAAGTGAGGATGGTAAACTATGCAGAGCAGATGGGCTACAGTGATTAACTGTAAACTTACAATGTGCACCTATATGTACCAGAGTCTACTGAATCAGCTCAAACAGCAGCCCCACAATAAAACTATATTATAGTATTATATATATATATATATACACACACACACACACACACAGTGGTGTTAAAAAGTGTTTGCCTCCTTCCTGATTTCTTATTCTTTGCATGTTTGTCACACTAAAATGTTTCAGATCACCAAACAAATTTAAATATTAGACAAAGATAACACAAGTAAACACAAAATGCAGTTTATACATGAAGATCTTTATTATTAAAGGAAAAAGAAATCCAAACCTACAGGGCCCTGTGTGAAAAAATGATTCCAAGACGAAAACCACTGCTGAGCAAAAAGAACATAAAGACTCGTCTCAGTTTTGCCAGAAAACATCTTGATGATCCCCAAGACTTTTGGGAGAATACTCTGTGGACGAGACAAATGTTGAACTTTTTGGAAGGTGCATGTCCCGTTACATCTGGCGTAGAAGTAATACAGCATTTCAGAAAAGGAACATCATACCAACAGTAAAATCTGGTGGTGGTAGTGTGATGGTCTGGGGCTGTTTTGCTGCTTCAGGACCTGGAAGACTTGCTGTGGTAAATGGAACCATGAATTCTGTTGTCCACCAAAAAATCCTGAAGGCGAATGTCCGGCCATCTGTTCGTGACCTCAAGCTGAAGCACACTTGGGCTCTGCAGCAGGACAATGATCCAAAACACACCAGCAAGTCCACCTCTGAATGGCTTAAGAGAAACAAAATTAAGACTTTGGAGTGGCCTAGTCAAAGTCCTGACCTGAATCCGATTGAGATGCTGTGGCATGAACCACCTTTTTAAGGTCATGCTCGGAAACCCTCCAATGTGGCTGAATTACAACAATTCTGCAAAGATGGGTGGGCCAAAATTCCTCCACAGCGCTGTAAAAGACTCATTGCCTCATTATGTTATAATCTATTTAAACCTAGCGCATTCATTTAAATATTAATAAGCAAAATATATACAAAATCATCATTTATAGGGTACTGTCTATTGAGAGATGTCTGTCCCAAACCCTAACTCCTAAATTTCAAACACTACATTTTTTTCAATGGTTTTTTAGATCTTTTTTATTTCTTTTTAAGTGAAGTTGAAAGATTTGGATTTATCACGAGTTTAATTCTGAAATAACTAAACTTCATGCAAAAAATGCTGTCCCACATTTTCATGTCACTACTGAAACGCAAAACATTTTAGTCGATATGCAGAGACTTATTTTAGCCTCACCCCTGCATTTTAAAGCAGGAACTGAGACTGCATCGCTGTCATGGCCACATGGTGAATAGTTAGATCCCATTGTTTTGAAGTAAATGTGTCCCAAAGTCTGCAAGTCAGTGTGTAACCTTAGGAATTGTCACTACTGAAACAGATATTTCGCAATTAACTAAACATTTATGTGTTTTAATGAATTTATGATTTTGTGTGCGGACAGTCCAAAATATGTTTTCAGCTCTGAACCAAATGTGGTAGAATGATCAAGATATAGTATATGGTATGATAATATATAAGTATATATAAGTAGGTGTTTCTGATATAATGGCAAAAGACTGTAGATACAAGGCAGGCATACCTAATAAACCAGCAACTCAGTGTATATGTTAAATTAGAGGTGGGCAATATGGCAAAAATGTAATATCACAATAACGATATAAAGAAGTTTTCACAATACACAATATTCATTTTTTGCATATCTTATGAGTTGGAACAAACATAATTGTCACATTTAAAAAAGTACCATCAAAAACAATGAATGATTTGTATTCCAACATTTCACATACTGCACTGCATTAAATCCATTTAAACAGGAGTAATTATGATTTTTTTTTTAATCAAACATGATCAAATAGTGCTGATATCCACAGTAAACTCAGAAAGCATATTGTGACATACTGTAAGATAATATAAGACGATAGCGATAAATATTGTCCTATTGCCCAGCCCTGTGTAAAATGCATTTTAAGTGACTTTTCAAACACAAAAAAACTCAAAACACACTTAAACAACAGTAAATTTAGGGTCAATAGTGTTTTGGGTCAGTGTCTAAAGGGCTCCTCTGTTGTCAGTCTATGGGATACAGAAAAGAATACTTATTTGTTCACACAAAGCAATTGTTCACAATGAACGGATGTGAGGGTCTCAAATTCAGGTTTATTTGTAATATGTTAGTAAACGACAGTTTAAAAACAAAATCTTTTTTCATCCTTTTTCTTTCAACCTTTTCCATGACTACCCACTGCCAGAAAAAAAACAACATTTAGCATGACAATAATAGACTCCTAAAGTTCTTAGTCATACATACAATGGAGCACTGTGAACTGGCTAGGGGTTAAATCAGCCTGGTAGTTCCACTGAGCAGAAAGCACGGGTCAGGGTGAGGAGGGGATGGCGGAGGGACTAAAGGGTGGGATGTGGACTGAGCGACTCACTGATGAAGAGATTGCGCTGGCTCTGCCAACAGTCCTCCAGACTGAGGAGGAAAGGGTGTCTGAGCTGCCGCTACAATGCAACAGCAACAAAGCAGATGAGATGAAAGTTGCAAACACTGAAGAAGGACATGGACTTGTTATGGTATGAGCTCAGCCTTTCTAAGGAAATGTTAAAAGAAGAAGAGCATGAAATGAGAATGCTTTCAGTAAACGTATTTGGATGATGTGAATGGCTGATGTGACCAAACAGTAGGACCTAAGTCAGTAGTCCACATGACATTTTTTTACAATGGGCTCCATCTTAACCTTGTCCTTATATTCAGACTTTGAATCCAGTATCTTTATGAGCCCACATTGCTAATGTTAGCACAGAGTAAAGGTTTAATGGATTCTATACAACATTGAAAATCGAATTAGTGAGCAGTACATCAACATTTACAACTGTATCACCTATACGCACCTCTGTCTCTTCAGAGGGTCTCTCATTTGCAGTCTTTTAAGAAAACTACTGTCAGTGGTCAAAACTAGCCATTTGTGTGCATCATATGAGATTAAAGTGGGTGGCGACAGGCTTTTTTTCTGAAGAATCTAGGGGTTGTGACTTTTTGAGCTTATAATTCTGTTTAAACTTTTATTTACCTGAGAAATCTGTGTTGTATTTAAACCAATGAGCCAAAACATTATGACAACCTGCGTAAGATGCTGTTGGTCCTCATCATGCCTCCAAACCAGCTCCAACCTACCGAGGCGTGCACTCTACAAGTTCAAACCTCTGAAGGTGCCTGGTGGTATCTGGCACCAAGATGTGAACAGCAGATACTTTAAGGTCTGTACGTTGCGAGTTGGAGCTGCCCCGAATCAGACTTCTTTCAGTAAATCCCATAGTTGCTCAATTGGATTGAGGTCAAGACTCTTCGTCATGTTCCTCAAACCATTCCCGAACAACATGCGCAGTGTGGCAGGGCGCATTATCCTGCTGAAAGAGCCTTGACATGAAAGGGTGTACATGGTCCGTGATAACGTTTAGGTAGGTGGCATGTGACGTCCACTTGAATGCCTGGTGCCATCACTTCTCCAGGTAAACAATGAACTACTTTGACTTGTGCCTTCACCCTTCTATCGGTTCAGACTACAGGGGAAAGCCTGCATTGCCCTCAAGCATCAACGAGCCTTCAGCACCCAACAACCAGCCGTGTTCATGGTTTGCCCACTGCTGACTGCGAGCACCGCACAAGCCTTGCCGTTTTCTTGTGAAGATGAACTGACCCAGTCGTCTGGCGATAATGATCTGGCCCTTGTCAAAGCTGTTACGTTCATCACGCCTACCAGTTTCTCCCGCATCCAACACGTCAACTATGAGAACTGACTGGCTTACCATCTAATATGTCCGAGACCTCGATGTGCACCATCTGTAAGTGGTCATAATGTCTTTCCTCTTCTGATTAAATTGTCTAATTAGTGCACTGTATGCTAAATTAGCATGTGTTTTCTAGCAATGTTAAATGTTCTACCACAAGACTCTTTAGGACACTGTAAGTAAATGGATGTGTAATCATGGCAAATCCAATATGTTTCCAGTTTCATGATTTTTTTTTTCCATGAGTCATAAAATGTAATTATGTATTTTAAAAATATTTTAAATCACTATATTTTTTTATCTGATTCCATGGGCAGGGTGAGCATATGCTACAGGCACCAAAAGGCTGAACAATGCACTTACTTGTTGGCCAAGGCTTTGAGCTATTTCCTAAAATAAATAAAGGCCATGCTCTAAAACATCTTTGACCACTGTGTTTATTCAGAGAGAAACAGAAACATTGTTAGTACATGTATTTATGTGAATATCTCACCTGGATTATAACCTCCTCCTTTGACTGCTCCACAACTCCAAGTCTCAGAACCTCAGATTTGGGTAAAACCTAATCATCAACAAAGACATCATAGACCTACAGTTAAATTACACTGTGTATATTTATTAAACATGGAAAAAAATGGCATTTATCAAACATGGAATAAAGTGGAAGAGGCATTCACCTTAATAGCATATGTCTTGTCTTTTGCCCAGTCCTTTACCTTCAGAATAGGGCCAAATGAGCCTTTAGCTATAAAACCTGTAATCTGATCAGAAAGATCATTGATATGATATACTTTTAATAATTTCCTTTAAGATGGTGAATTTTATTTTGGTGAAATATGTGCTTCTAAAGTAAGACACTGTATAAAAGTGCCCCTCTGTGGAGGTTCAAGAAAGGCCCTTTTTGTAATCTTTCTGTAGAAGCATACATTCCATAATTAACAATATAAAAACCATCTTAAACATTTTAAAGACCCTGAAAGCTGGAGTGTTTTGAGGGAGGGGGACGTTAGACTGTCCCTTTAAATGACTCATTAGGGAGTCAGATTAAATAATGTACCTGTAAATGCACATTTTTCCCCACACAATGTGGAAACTCAGGCAGGAACATGGAGGTGGAGGCAGGCAGAGGACTGATCTCCGGACTGAGAGTCTGTGCGGGGTGGTGGGATTTTGTACGCTGACCACTCCGCTGCTTGAATGGACTGTTGTGGACGAGCCCATCTCGGAGTGACAGAAACCTCTGTCTGCTGGACAGACATCTCTTCTCCACTAATGAGACCGATGTCTGCATCAAAATGAAAAAAAAAGTCACCAGGCATCTCAGGGAGCTCACCAAGAAAATAAACACTTACAGTGGCTGGCAAAAGTTTGGGCCCTGACCCCTGGTCAGAATTTCTGTTAGGGAGAAAAAGAAGACCTGATTTCCAAAAGGCATAAAGTTCAAGATGCAATATTTCTTTAACATTTTAAGCAAGATCACTTTTTATTTCCATCTTTTACAGTTTCAGAATAACAAAAAAGGAAAAAGGCCTGAAACAAATGATTGGGCACACTGCATGGTCAGTACTTATGGTCAGTAACAAACCCTCTGGTGAGTATCACAGCTTGTAAATGCTTTTTGTAGCCAGCCAATAGTCTCTCAATTCTTGTTTGGCGGATTTTCACCCACCCTTCCTGTGAGATTCTTGGGCCGTCTTGCATGCACTGCTCTTTTGAGGTCTATCAGTAGATTTTTGACGATGTTTGGGTTGAGGGACCCCGAGGGCGAAATGGTGAAACCTTCAGCTTGTGCCTCTTGAAGTCCATTGTGGATTGTGAGGTGTGTTTAGGATCTTTATCCTGTTGTAGAAGCCATTCTCTTCTCCTTTTTTGTAAAAAAAAAAGCATCCTCTCTGTTTTTACAGATGGTGTGATGGTTGCTTCCAGAATTTGCTGATATTTTAAATCCACTCTTCCCTCTATCACTATGTTGCGTGTGCCACTGGCTTCAACACAAGCACAAAGCATGATGAACTCTATCAGTCCCCAGGACTTGTTTCCAAAATGCATCAGCCTTGTTTAGATGTTCCTTTGCAAACTCTTGATGCTGAATTTTGTGATGAGGACGCAGGGAAGGTTTTCTTCTGATGACTCTTCCAAGAAGGTCATATTTGTGCAGGTGCTGCTGAACAGAACAGCACTGCACCACCACTCCAGAGTCCAAATGTTCCTTAAGGTCTTTTGCAGTCAAACAGGGGATTTTGATTTGCCTTTCTAGCAATCCTATGAGCAGTTCTCAAGTTTTTGGAGTCTTCCAGACCTCAACTTGACCCCCACCCTTCCTGCTTCTTAATTACATTACCAACTGAGGAAACAGCCACTTAAAAACACTATGCTATCTTCTTTTAGCCTTCTCCTGCTTTGTGGTCATCAGATAATTTAATTTTCAGAGTGCTGGGCAGCTGCTTAGAGGAGCTCCTGGCTGCTGATTGTTAGGACAAGGTTTGAGGTGTCAGAGTATTTATAAAGCTTTGAAATTTGCATGACCTGGCCTTACGATGACCTAACGATGACTGCGAACAAGCCCCAGGGCACGTGTGTCAGGCTCCAGTCCTCGCAGGCCAAAACACTGCAGACTTCAGCACGCTGCCTCATTAAACACACCTGACTCAGCTCATCAGCTAATTAGCAAGGCCTTCATGAGCTGAATTTAGAGGGTTAGATGAAGGTAAACACTAATCTCCACAGCACTTTGGCCGGGAAGGTCCCCAGTTTGACATGCCTGCCACAGAGGATTTGGGGTGCTCCTTTTCTTTTTTTCCACTCTAAAATTATACCAAACAAAAATAATTCACTACATATTGCTTAAAATGCTGAAAAGCATGTTTCATCTTTAACTTTACGCCTTTTGGAGATGGGTTCATCTTCTACTCACTGAACTATTCACAGTAACAGGACCTTTGACCAGAGGTGCCCAAAGTTTTGCATGCCAGTGTATCAGTCGCTCAGGCTTCCAAGAAGCTACACTGAAATAAACAGCCACTGCAACGTGTAAACTGACGGAGAATCATTGAATCCAACAGACACAATTTACTGAAATGTGGCCAAACCAGCTACTGCACCTTTATTTCTCCACAGGATGATATTCAGCGCAAAGAAGTGCGGATTCTCCCACAAACAGCACCCAGACAGCCTGCGGCTCTTTTCATTACCAATCACATTCACTTCACTGCATTCAGAGCGCGCTGTCTGCTGCCCTGGCGGACTGTGACCCTCATAAAACGCGCTTTTCTAAGTCCGAGCAAGTTAATAAGACCGTTTTTGTCCCGTTTCGCTTGACATTAAGGTCCATAATATTCGAAACAGCTTCATTTTATCCACGTTTCTCCTCTGACTGACTGAAAGGAGCAGTTTGAAGACACTGCGGCTACACGAGCAATGTAAACAGAGTCAACGCTGCTGGTCAGTCAGGCGGTTTCTCACCTTGTTTTTGCTCCCGACGCCGCCCATTACATTCTGTCAACAACAGGCGGCTGGTTAGAGGTCAGACTCTGCGTCCTGTCGTGTACATGTCGAGAAGACGTCGTTGGGTTTGCATTTAGAGGCTGAAAACAGAGAAAACGCTCGTATTTCAGGGAGAGCAGACAGACACGTCGCGCGCTGATCCATGTTGGGCTCCGCGGGCTGCTGTGACAAACCCCGCCCCTTAATTAATATTCATGAGTCACATCCCCCTGGTGACGCCCTTCTCTAGCAAACACTAGCAATGCACAGTACGCTTGGTCTGCTTGGCAGCTGTTCTGTGGTCATTTGTTAAAAATTGCATTGATCAAATGGCTCCATTTTGGAAATGTAGCAGGGTATTTAGATGTAGAAGCCGTAGTGAGAAATGACCATTTAACATTACAAGACTGCTCCATGGACCCCCTGTCCGGACTTCCCCACTCTAACACACCCGAGATTGAAGAGAAAAACACTGCAAGGTTTTTCATACAATTACGGTAACATTACTGTAGGACAGTCACAAGGCTATGTCAACTGACATAGACCTACATGAACTCATTCTAATAGATTTTGTCATAAATGTTGAATTTGCTAACTTTGATGTCAAGTTAAAATCTGCTGATTGCGAATTAGTGTGGAAAATCCAGCACCCAGCCATGTGATCTCCATAGACACTGACAGTAGAACGGGTCATACTGAAGAGCTCAGTGGCTTTAAACATGGCCCTGTCATAGGAGGCCACCTTTGCCACAAGTCAGCTGATGAAATTTCTGCCCTCCTAGATCTGCTCCAGTCTAGTGCTATAATTGTGAAATGGAAGCATCTAGGAGCAACAAAAGCTCAGCCACGAAGCAGGGGACCATTCAAACTCACAAGGTGGGGCTGCTCCTCTGGACATCACTCACTCGCACTCCAGACTGCCAGTAAATTCACTGGGGAATCTGGGTTTGGCAGATACCCTACCTACCGAAATGCATAGTGCCAACAGTAAGGTTTGGTGGAGGAGGGATGGAATTGGAACGCCAATTCTCTGCCAGGCCTTCTTGTCCAGTATCAGTGCCTGACCTCACAAACACTCTTTTGACTGGATGGGCACAAATTCTGACAGACACACTGCAAAATCTTGTGGAAAACCTTATTTGAGATTCTGTCTTGTACTGATAAACATTGTATTAAATAAGAAAGCAACACAAAATAAAAGCACTTTTACTCATGGTCTCAGACTTCTTGGCCCCACTGTCATGCAGCCTTATGAACACTGCACCACAGTGTCATCCCAGTTACTGCAAAAGTAACGGTCATCCATAGTTTGATTTTTGTAGTTGGGGATGTCTTTGCTTACCAAACACTGAGCCGTTACAAATCCATGCATGATTATAGTCTTTATGTGACAGTGGAAGGAAACTGTCAACTGCTACAGTCTCCATACAACACATGGCAGGATAACACATGCAGAGAGTTGTAATCTGAACCGCAAACAGAAGTAGTGCTGGTCATAATTTCATATTTATTTCAAGTGTAGTTAATTTTTATGGCGTTACAAAGAAGTAAGATGTTCAGTAGAACATCTATCAATATAAGCCCTGAAGTGAAATGATTTCAGTGTGTACTGGTTCTTCTTTTTCACGTTTTCACTGTATTTTAACAGTAATACTGAGTAATACAATAATACTGAACATTAAATAAATATCATGTTTTTTACAGTCACTCATTTCATGCCATCCCTAAATCCTGGCAACCTTGTGCCCCATTGATCTGATCCCTAAAATTGACCACTACAGGACAGGTTTACTGGGGCTTCAATTTTAATGCTGAAAATTAAATTTACAAAGCATTGCGACAGTTATTAAAACACATCCCCACAGAGCCGATGCTCTGAAATTACAAGAAAAACACAATACTTCTTTCAGGCTGAAATAAATCTTCCTTGACATTTTTCTCCTCTTAAGCTGAACAACAAAATCAACAGCATTTAACATCAATGTTGAAATGAAAGGATACAAAAACACCAGAAAAAGAAAAAAAAACTAACAAAAAAAAACACAACTTCAAAAGTGCCACAGTGTTAAAATTAGCATTATTGAGAGTGCTTCAAATATTACAAAACAGTAAAGCTCCCGACAAACAGCAATATCAACACAATCACCATACCAGGCAGGTATTTCATCTGCTTTTCTTGTAGGTATTGCACAAAGGTTGTTAGTACAGTAAATCTGAGGTCAACAATGAAATATTACACACCTGTGTGACTTCTTTGTAATCATAGTGCTATCTTAAGTTTTAAAGAAATTCTTAACGGCTTCTCAGGGTGCATTTTATTCAGAGGTAAAGGCATTGGGTAAGTAAATGGAAATGCTTTTCAGTGTATTTGTAATACTACAAAGTATACCTCTGGATTGAAACCCATTTTTGATCCCTTGTGGTTTGCCCGGCATCTCCTCCAAGGTGCATAAAAATGTGCCTGCAAGACTTTCCCTTTAGATTTTAGAGTCTCCTGATCCCGCAGGAGATGTTAGCAGTCATTAAAACAGAATCACTATTTCTGTGGTACAGATACTGAGAGGACTGATTACTCATGAAATGATTAAAATTCCACCTTAAACTCTGGGGCTCAATGAAATGTTTATCATGATAGATGAGAACAGTATGTAGTGCACTGAACTACAATGACATATGAAACACTTATGGCAATAAGAGAGTGTGTGACAACGTGAATGTTGATTCCTAAGTATGCTGCCCTCTTCAAAGACAGTAGTGTGATAATCCAACCTTCCTTAACTGGAACATCTCACGATCTGTCCATAGCCAGTGTGGAGTTCTGAAGGCAACTCTGGTGAAGAGGAGAGGAGAGCTGTCTCTCTGATGCTCTGCCTGGATCTCCATCATGGTCCACCACCCCCTCCTCTGAGACTAAAGGAACCAGACACAGGCAGAAGGACCCTGTCGAGCGTCTGTAGTCTTTCCATACCCTGGGCTCACTTGCGGCGGCTGAAGATACTCTTCTTGCTGGAGCTCTTGTCGTTGGTGCTGAGGCCGATCAGCAGTCGGGCCTTCTCGTCCTCCTCCTGCTGTTGCACGCTGCTGTCCACCTTTCCTTCGGCCACTTTACCCCGAGACTCGGAGGCCGCAGCCGGCTTCAGGCGCAGCTTCTCTTTTATCATCTGTCCATTAGTGTGAAGAGATGAGAGGGGTATTAAGAGTAGTTGGTAAAAAAAGAGCAGTTGAGTTTTCACATCTGCTTGTGTATTTAAATAAATGTGTTGTGTGAAAGCCCAACATGTTTCATGCTGAATATGCCCACAACTAAAACAATAATAAAGACAAAGGCAAAGTCAAAGTGACGCCCCACGACATCGCAGAAACATTCTGCTTTCTATTTTGCTGGCTGTAATATAGACATCACTGTATTCCCCAACAAAGCATTGGCTTCCATTCACACATGATAATTTCCTGAGAATTGTATACGTCTCATGCAGGTAAACTGCAACATCAACTTTACTAGGATTTAAAGCTCATGAACTACAGCTCATGTTCACACTTCACTCCTTCCTGTTTTGTTAACCTACCAGCTAAAAGTGCAAGTGTGAGCCTAGGTACAGCTAGCATGAGGGATAGACAGGGCATTGGGAGGACCGGGACAATTCCTGGTGGGCCACTGAGTGAGAAATAGATTTTCTAACATTGTCCTATATTAAATGAATGGAGACCATCCAGAACAAACAGCATGTGCACATACTGAGACACGTTAGTGGCCCAGTGGTCAGCTTGTAGGGGTACATGATTGACAGAGAGTAGGTCACTGGATCTCAGAGCGAATAGGTCACTGTAGTTGTAGTGGGCTGGTTTAGTCAAAAGTCCAGGGCTGAACTGGGAACTAAGCATGTACACCCTTTGGTCCTTTTTATAACATACACCTACCATTTAGGTGTTTTGCTGATAATACAAATAATTGCTGGTCAGTAGTAGTCTTTCCATTGATGGACAGGTTACTGGGTGGCAGACAAATTTTGCAGCAACAGATGGGCTACAGTTTGTAACTATAAAAGGGGATGGTAAGTGGCTCATGATAAAATGACCCATGAGTGTATCTAATAAACTGGCAAACGAGTGCATCAAAACTAAACTCTATTTCAGCAGCATCAGTCCATATTTTTGGCAATTTGTGGCTAATGTCAGGCCTCAATGACGGTAATGTGTTCAGTACCTGGGCAACCAAAGCTTTTCGGCTGTCTCTCTTCACAGCCATGGCAAAGTCCAGCCAGGTCCACGTGTTGTTATGATACTCCAAGCAGGGCAGCACCAGGTTCAGATCCTTCCAATCTACGCTGCTCTTTTCCCCCTGCACAATTACACACAACAATGGCATGGATTTCAAGCCATCGTCCACTAATGCATTTTAAAGAGCTGAACTTTATGGGAGTTCAGTGCACTGCCCACCTTGTAGCTGACACAGAGGGGAACCTGAGGGATTTTGATGTAGATGAAAGAGTTGTTCATTGCGGCTCTCTCTTTCATCTTGTCAATGTCATCGACAGGGTGCTGGACAAAAAACAAAAGAACAGTCCTGTTGGGCTCACTCTTCAACCACAATGATGACGTTACTGCATCTTTTAGTCAGTATGTTTTCATATACAGTACTGTGCAAGTGTAAAAGGCACCTCAGTGCATTATTTAATTACATTTATCTTGGTACAATGTCTGTTTTGCTTGTAAAAACACCATTATCACTACAATAAATGGAAATAACACAAATCTAGTAAAATGTGACAAGAATTTATTTTCTAAAAAGTAGTTGATATCTTGTGAGCTAGTTTGATAAAGTTTGGTTCCAGACTTCTGGACGTGCACAGATTAATTAAATTCCATCAGCAACACAACTGTTTTAACATGATGAAGATAACATGCAAAACCAGGTACTGGGTGATAACTACACTTAATACTGGGCTTTCTTGAGGAGAAGCTTGGAAATAATTAAAGGAACACACTGACCTGTAAAACCACTACTTATGGTATTCATGTTATTTGTAGTGATTCTAATATTAGTGTTTTTTCTAAGCAAATAAACACTTACTGACAGATTAATAGCTTTTTCATTGTAATTTTCTCAGATGGCTAAAACGTTTGCACAGTATTGTATGATACAAAAAACAATGGTATCGTTCACTGAATTGAACACACTGGAAATGCATGGAAAGCATCTTGTCGGTGGTGGAGAGTTGGATCAAAATGCAGGTGTCAGTAACGCAAACCAGCATCTATGTACTGAAGTGACAAAATGTGACTGTACCTCAGGTGGTTTACGGAATGACCTTCTAACCCCTGCTGTGCGATTTATCCCCTGCGTGACCCCTTTGCTGGGGCCCAGCCCCGCGATGGAGTCTTCAGACAGCTGCCTCGGCTTTACAACACCTGATCCCGGAGAGAAGAGCAGAGATGGAGAGATACACTATAGCTCACACAATCAGGGTGACCCTGAATCATGACCAGATCCAGTCAATGTCAGATGAGAGCAGAGCTTTAAATAGCAAGGCCAGGGCCACTGGTGTGACATAACACACAGCAATTAGAAATCCAATATTCCTACACCACAGGGGAGAGTTGAGGGGAGGAGAAAGAAACAACAAGGCTAACTCAGCTAATATTGATCAGTGAGCAGAGTGGTACAGCTGATGGGATGTTGACTACACACAGTATAGAAAAGGGGAAGGAAAAGTGAACTGAGAAGAAAGTTAGTTCAGGGAGCTAAATATAAGAGGTCAATAATATGTCAAAACAAACCTGTAGTGACCAATCTGAACTTGTCCTCCTCGTCCCCAACTTCCTCCTCCTCTACATTTCTCCCAGGGAAGAAAAAGCCCATCATTCTCTTGAAGAACTGGTACATGAGCTGGATGGTAAGTGGCACCACATTGACCTAATTGTTAAAGTTTATTAAAGCACAGTTTTAGCAATCTGCAGATCTGATCCGATTGGTTATTTTGCACTTTTTGCGAAATGGAAAAACATGATATATTGTGACACTTTTCACAATATGCCTTTTTACAATACACAATATATACCATAGTATTTTGAGACAAAGTCACGTTTAAAAACTAAGAATACATTGATTTTCAATTCAGCATTTCACATAATGTGCTGCAGTTAATACAATTAAACTGGACAAATTATGGTCTCTATATAATGAAACATGGCATTGGTCAGTGTTCTTTAAGTACTGATGTACCACAATATGCTCAGGAGCGCATATTAGTTATTACAGTGATGAAGTTTATCGCAAAAACAATAGAAAACTGTCATATTGCCCATACATAAGCTTCAAAGGTAACATGGGTACAATTCAGAGCTGCATGAACAAAGCTGAACAAAAATATTATAGTACAATTATACTGCTATATATTGCAAAATGTCTTGCAATATACTTGAAACATTGTGAACTTTTAATATGAACAGTTGAACTGCATTATTTTAAATTTGTTTGACATTATTTACATCTATTATATCAAGCAAAAGCCTTAATTTATTAAAATATGCAAATAATGCTCATCAAGGAACATCCGTGATTGGTCATCATGTTGCAGCCCACTTCAATATCAGTACTGCAAAAGCCAACATTGTGATTATGATTAGCAAATAAACTGTGCAGCATTTGTATAATTCCATCCAAATTACCTCAAAATGCTCCTTGACAGAAATTCCACCCACAGGCGGGCGGACTTTGCTGAAGATGCGGAGGGCAAGCTGACGCCCTGACTGGCAGGGGCTTTGGGGACGCAACACCACCTACAGCATAAAACAGCGGTGCAGAAAGACCTCAGGATGCATCATGTAACTCAGGCTCAGAGCACTCTTCTACTGTCATGCACAAGGATGGTTAATGCTCACACTTTTTAAAAGACACAAAATGCACAGCTTTGCAATTTACAAATCAAAGGAGAAAATGGGGCTGGTGGAGTAAATCCAACTGCAGATGAGATGATGCACAAGAAAACCACAAAAATCACAGATGAAGATGAAAGTCTGAATAAGCACAATGATACAAAACAAAGGAAAAAGTCATCCCTTCTAGATTTCCCTGACCAGAAAATGAATGCCAAAATGTATTCTGTATTTCCTTGAGCATGGCTGAAATGAGTAGGATGATGTCAACTGGCACAAAACTAAATTACCGGCACCATACGTACCCTCACATGCTGAGCAAGAGAAACCAAGCAGAAAAGTTGTAAGTCTGAGCAAATGGCACCAAAAATCAAAATAAAATTAACTATTATTGCAGCTTTTCAACAGACATCTTTAGTATCCAAACTCGGAGTTTGGGAATCCCAGCCTGAAAGCTTCAGATAAACGTTGTGTGCAGAGGATCTGCTTATACTAAACTATACAATAATGATCAACTATTCTGGCAGTACCTTGTAAGCAGCATTGGGTAGAAGGTTATTCATTGTGAACCAGCCAAGTTCCAAGAGATGTTCTGCTGTGTCATCAGACTTATTCAGCTGTGTGGAAAAAAAAAATAAAAAAAAAACATTCATCTTAGAGATCTTTGTGCGTTTTGTAACAGTTAAACTTACTCCAACTTGGTTTATGCTTCATATTATAACATTTTTGTGCTGACTATGTGAGTAAACCAGCCTGAATTCTCCACTGCATTACAAGAACATGCCTTCTTTTGTCCAAGGATGCACTGCAATCTTTCAAAAAACGAGAAAATATTTAACTATACTACTACCAAATTTTATGGACCTGTTTCCCAGATGGAGACCAAGTCTGGTCCTAGACTAAAATTGACTGTGTGAATATAGAATCATCTCTGATGTAGCTCATCTGAGTCTGTGTCTAAGAATGTAACCCTTTCTCCTGAAACTGAGCAGCAGATATCTCTTCTCGCCCTCACTTTTCACCATCTAGGGCTCACCTTGCTGTACATAAATCTCTGCAGCTCCAGCTCAGCGATGCCCAGCTGGCCATCCTCCTCTGTGAGACACCAGCGTGCCTGAGCGAAGTAGATCTCAGTGCGACGCACAACACTCACGTCTTCCGGAGGCTTCCGCAGCTCCATCTTATTTGCCCGCTGCAGCTGGAAGTCCTTAAAACACCTTGGAAATGGGTAAAATCAGATTCATTATGTATACTAACTCATGGCTTTTTTACATACTGCAGCAATTCTAATGTATGTATCATAAGATGAGACTATTTATTGGTGGTTGTAACCACAACAAGCATGACTTTCACCATTCAATGGCGAGCACAACACAAACAAGAAAAATAATAACTAATAATCAAAACTACATTAAAAGCAACATTACAGCCTCACACTGTAATGTAAGTACTTCTTAAAACAAAATATTACAAATTAAACACCTTAAACAATTTAACAAACAAAATGTATTAAAAAAATTCAGAAATACACCTGAAGTAAGCAAAAATTTAGCTAACTAGAGGCCTGAGTAAAAGGTGAGACCTTAATGATCATTATAAACTAGGTTTAGTGCAGACCTACCTGATGAGGATGTTGAGTTCCTCACTCTTCATCTGCAGGTCAGTCTTCTCCTGGTTGAGCTGGTTCTGCAGCCGCAGGTTGATGTCAGACAACTCGTCTCCTCTCAGCTCCTCTGGTTGGGACTGCAAGAGTCCAAGCAAACAGAAAAAATGAGCTCCAACAAAAAAGCCTCAAAAGTGTCTTTATTTAGAGCATAACCATAGAGAACACCGAATATATAAAACTAGCTCAACATAAACAACTTTCACACACACAGCATTTCACTAATTCAGCTAATTCAACCATGCTGTTACTACACTGACCCTTATGTTGGAGTAGATCTGCTTCTCTAGACGGCGAATCTGAGCCACATGCTGGCGCACTGCCTCCTGTAGGTGGAGGATGCTGCTGCGCTGTTCCTCTGGGTTACTGGAAATCTCTAGCTGGAAGCGCACACGCTGCTTCTTCTCACTGTGCTCCTGTAAACATAGTGCAGATTAGCAATTTATTCTCTCTCACCGCACCATGGGTGATGTGATTATGTACTTTAGCGTTTTTACAACAGATGAGAAAAAATGTGTTTGCAAATTTTAATTTAGCACTGAAATAAAAATGACACAATCATTACTCTAAAACATATTAATCTCAATCACAATCTCAATTAGTGGAACAACTTATTTTAACAGTGAAAAAATAAAAGCAGCACATAAATGATTTTAATTTTTTGAATGTTAATGTTCTGAAATATACAGGATTGTATATACACATTAATTCAGATTTTCCACAACTGTGTGGTACTAGCATAAGTAGCATTTTTGTGTATCATTAAAAAGAGACAAGACACATACATGCAGACACACCAGCAGGATTTTTCATATCGTTGCGGTCACAGGTTTCAAGACGTGAAGTATAATAATTCTCAACATGATTAAATGTGTCACTTTTAACTTAATCAGCTCATTCTCAAGGTACAGCAGGCGGTACCCCAGCCTCTGAATTCAAAGACCGTTTTGGGCTGTCTCATTTTCTTCCCAGGAAGCAACAGGTAAAATCCCAAATAATAGCTTTTAAATGTGGCATTACAGCTCAAAGCAGAAAATCACTAGACCCTTGGTTTATATTTAGATTCATTATATAGTGTTTGAACTACCTACAGAACTACAACTACCATAACCACTAGAACTTAACTTGCATTGCAGTTCACACATCAACGCTGAAGAGACGGCTTGGGCAGCAATATTGCACGCAACACATAGTGAAAATAGTTAACAAATTACATAATTAACTACAATAACCATGAGCACTACGATTTGACAAAATACTTGAATTGATATGAACACTATACAAAGTTATTTACTGTGCACGCTGTGATCTTCTTTGGATTAACACTGGAGTAATTTCACCTGCCAATGCAACATAGTGCTGCATTGTACAACCCTGCTGCAAACAACCAGCAGCATCAGACTGTCAAATTACCACTGTTTAGTAACAAGAAGCTGATCATATGTTAGCACATTATGTCATTATGTTTTATGTGTTGTGGGCATCATGTAGATTTCTTCAAACATAACAACATTACATTCTTTACATGTCTTACAGCGCTCTTTCAGATTAGTTGCAAAAATCTCTAACCTTGCGCCTTGGTTCCACATGGAGAAGGAGGTTGTTTACTATGTCCAGGATCATAGCATACTGCACTGGGTTAGTGGAGATCTCCAGTTCATTGTGGATCAGTGTGAAGGTGTCTACCGCACCTGGTAAACAGTTCAGAAGTAGAAGCATAATTTCAGTACCAACAAGTTAAACAACACAATATCTCAGAGATTTCTAGCAGCACTGGCTAATAAGTCTGTTGACCCTACCAGCCTGCTTCTTGAGCAGATCCTCTTTCTCATGGCGGTCACGTATTTCTGGAGGCTTGATCTGTGTAGCCAGCTCTGGGTCAATATCGTGGCTGTAGCCAATGTAGTACATGCGGCAGCTACAGCGTGAGATGATGCGCTGGACCTGCTGCGTCTCCTGCACCTGGGATGGCTGGTTCCAGTCTAATGAACACAGAAGAAATCACTCTTTCACACACAGCAAACATCAACAACAATGCTGTAATAAATGCAGGTCGTTTCTGGCATTACTGCTGTCATGGCACAAATCATCATTGACTCCACTGAATACTACATGCATAGCATGGCTCATTTACAACGTTACACCCAGCAAAGTAATACAACAACAGTGAAAAAACTTTTCCAAAATTCCATTATACTCGCAATAAGACTACCAGCTTAAAGCCTCCGTCACACCAGATGTTCGCAGTCTGTCTCACCCTGTGAAATGGCCGTTACTGAGGCTGTTCTGGAAGATCGGCGAAGGAAAAAAAAATACCTTCATGTCGGTGTAGTTAGCAAGCTAGCCAACTCATTAACCCTGAACAATAATGATGCAAAAGTGCACAATATCAGATAATTATATACTACTGTATATAATTATCTGATGGCAGTGGGGAGATTTGTGTGCAGTTGCAGTTAGCCAAAGAGCTGACATTACATACCATAAACAGTAAAGTAAACTACGCAACAGCATAGTGCTACACTCTGACCTGTAGCAAAAAAATGCAGATAACTGGCATGGTTGACAGTGGGGTGACCTGTGTGCAGCTTTAGTTAGCCATTGAGCTAACAACGGAGTAAGCAAGTTAGCTACCTTAAACAAACCATGAAATAACAGAACTACAGATAACAATACTGTCTCTTGACTGACTACATATCATGCAGTGACCCTTTCATGTTTTAATATCTAGCCAGTGGGGAAGAAATGGTAAAACTGCGTATCATCCGTTTTGGAAGTTCAGTGCTTTGAAAGTCAAGGCAGCCAGAGCAACAGCGCTATTGGTAGAGGGCGCAGATTTGAGTCTAAAAGTTCATCAACGCTGAACTTGATATGAAATTTATTTGCCCTGGAAGTCTATGATGCGAAATCACTCATCGCGGTAAATTCCTCCAAATTAATGTAATTTTTCTGTTGAAAATTAGCTGGCAACCTTAGGACTGACCTAAAAGAACCTAGACAGGCAGTGCAGAAGCACAAACTGTACCTGTGGTGGTGCTGACCATGCCTCCCACAGCCTGTCCGCTCTCCATCAGCTCCTGCACTGAGTCCAGGTTACGCTGCCTGTGCTCTTCAATGTTTTTCACCTGCATGTTCAAAAACAGGATACCTCTCACACCTTCAGCTCATCTAAAGTCTTTGTCTGATGACTAATTGATGAAACAATAACTCACTTAAAGACATTAATTACCTTTTTGGTAATAACTATGTTATATCAAAAGTGAGTTATGTGGCTGTACTCGCCTCCAGCCAGAGCTGCCCGTCTTCTTGTTCAGAAGGGTTGGGTTCCATGGTGGCAAAGTACTGCATGCAGTCTAACGAGCAGGTCCACGTGGTCTTCTGCTTAAGGGTGTCGTTGTACCAGGCTGGGTGGTGCTCACACTGCAGCAGCTGAGCCTTCGCGGCAGACACCAGCACACACCCTGCTGTCTCAGTGCCCCGCAGCATCATCTAAACACAAACAAAAAGTTCAGTGTTTTTTGTTTAAAGTGACTGGGTTTAGAACAATTCGTAAGTGGAAGCAGAGAGCTTCTGTCATACCTTACAACATCAGGTCTGTTATTTTTTATTTTTTTATTAAAATACCTGACAGTTGACGAGTTCTATGCACCAGTTGCGGTTATAAACGTCATCCGTCTGGCAGGCGGCGATTCCACACAGCTGATCGCTCACTCCTGCATCCTCTTCAGAAAACACCACAAACTTATCTGTCTCCTCGATCAGCTTCTGCAGCATGGATGTGCCTGAAAGACATGCAACGTGACAAGAATGCTAGATGTACATCTAGCAAAAACAAACAACTACAACTCCTAAATGATTACTAGGCATTGCTGAAAGGAAAGGTGATGTAACAGTGGTAACTTTTTTGGAAAATTTTGCATCAAATTTAGAATATACATATATATCCAAATGAAGTTAATAAGTTGAAACATCAAATATCTTGTCTTTGTATTGTTTTCAGTTGGCTACAGGTCAAAAAGTATTTGCAAATCATTGCTGGGTGTTTTCTTTTACTTTTTTGGAATTAGGTTTGTAAGAAAAACCCTCACCTTCGTTCTGACTCTTCTCTGGGCGGATGGTGGTAGGGATAACAGGAGCGGAGGGAGGAACACTGGAGGAATAAGTAGACATGGAGCGCTTTAGCTTTTTGGCCTGCAGCTGTGTGTCGATCCTCAGACCCTTCAGGGCTTCTGTGGAGAGGTTCCTCTTCAGCACAGCGGCCTTCTTGTAACCATCATACAAGCCAAAGGCTATGTTCCTGTTGGTGGTGGTCCAGGAAGCGCGCAGGTCAACTAAGCACAGCTTGTGTGTGTAGAAGGCGTTGCTTTCATCTTTTGAGTTGACCTCCTAATAGAAATGGGAGTAGTGATGTCAAAATCCTAATTCATGTTAGAATGATACGTTTATCAACATGTTTACTGACACTAAAAACGTACTGACAGACCACAAGCCCTTTTATCTACATTACTGTTTTTATAGGACAATATGACTCAAACAAAAAAAAAACTATTTATTCAGAGCAAATGTAAACAAAACCTATGGGCTTCTCAAGTCTGTCATATAAAATGTATTAAATCACATCTAACCAGAACTTCATTAAATGGTTTCAGAAACAAGCAACAACATAACTACAACAGAGTAACTGTCAATTTTTTTTTCATAAAGGACTCCTATTAGAGACCTGTCATTATAACCCCCAGATGACTGACTCGGTGTGTGGAAGTGAGTACACTGGTGAAAAACATGACAGAGGTAGAAAAGTGGAGCCTAATAACTCTGATGCTCTCTAGTTGATGGCTGCAGGACCTTTTTTTTAGCCTTGTAAATGCACATGTAAGTTAACAGAGCCAAACAAACATTTGAAGTGTCACTTTTAGTGAGTTTTTAGCAATTGTACTGTCAGTTCTACATGCATGTCTTCCCTAATTATTTTTCTTTATGATATACATGCTTTAGCGAAGTAAATAATTTGTGCTATTTTGTGCCATTTAAAGGTTAATGAGGTTATTGGCAAGTATATCTTGATAACTCTAAGTGCTGAAATAGTTTTACAGTTATGAAGAGAGGGCTTGTCCTGTTCTACAGGAAACTGTTCAAATTGGAAAGTTCGTTGCCATTTATTGATAAGTGGCATATTTTGATATCTAACCAGCTGTTAGCTAACAAAAGGAAATTAGTTATGGGTTGTTTGTTCAGTCATTATTTGGCACTTGGCATTTGAAATTATGAATGATATCAAATTCAGTCAGCATGCACACTCCTGGCATGAAAATGCAAGGTATCTGCAATGAATATGGGCCAAACACACAGCCTCAACCATTGTCTTTACTACTCTGTGACTCTAATGGTCTCTACTGTACAAAAGCTAGAATAACGGTGGCATTCACTTTGGCTTCAAATTTCAATTTAACTTTAGGCTTCTGTCCACTCATATATTCAGTGTGTGTGCATGGAATTTACCTCCTCGATTCGGTTGCTTTGTCTTTGGTAGCTGAGTGAGGACAGGCTGAGCAGGTGGGTCTTTTTCACCTGGGCGTTAATCTGGTGGTCAGCCGTCTCGTCTGAGGTGGAGGACATCAGGTGCACGGTGACCAGAGACAGCTCGCTCACCATCTGCGTCACATTCCACTCCGAGATCAACCTCCTCATCACTGTGCCCGCTGCAGCCGCATACACACAGGCAAACACAGTCATTCACACGCTGCAGTTACATGGAGACTAGTGATTTAAGTGTGTGTGAGGTGCATGTTTGCTCTCACCCTGTGGAATAAGCCTTTGTGCTCCTCTGGTGAAGATGTGGCCTTTACTGCACTCCAGCTGAATGCCTCTCTGCTGAGCAAAGGACGCCCAATAATGAACCTGTGAATAGCACAAAAACAACACCAAAATACCCATTAATACACAGAATAGGGGTTTTTACAAGGAAAGCAAATTATTGTTGCAAATTAGGCATGGACATTTTAGTCAAATTTAATCTTCAAATTGGTAAGGCATTATTTAAAGGATATATAGATCAATAAATTTAAAAAACAGGACTCTTGCGGCTGCAGGCTGTACACCAGAAGCTTGACAGACATGATGCCACTCAGCATCTAACCATTATAGTAATAAATCAAACCCATACCCAGACAACAAATCCATAATAGGTAACATGTAGCTTAAAATATAGACTGAGAAACATTAAGATAAACAGAAAAATAATAATTGTCTGCTTTCCCCTCCACTCTTGTTACTACTCTTATCACATCGTGTTCTACCCCATACCTTTTAGGTGGATATCAGCAAATTTAAGAAGAGCTGATACCAAATATGATAAGTTTTATTCCATCAAATCTATACGAGTAGAGTGTAAAATGAACTTGAGCTGCTTTTTGATCAGTGCTTTTCTATGGTGCTTCCTACGAGCTACAGCTACACTTTGTACTGCTGTACTGTATCTGCTATGCGACGCGAGTGACACAACACATAGCTTCTCATCGGATGTGCAGCTTTTAGCCAACCGCAATAGCACAGAATTTTTGTGACTGAAAACAGGTTCTACACTGCCCTCTAGTGGAGAACAGAGTTCAGACATCACATGGCTGTTGAAAGTGACAACGTATAACATTGGAGAGAAGTGTACCATTCTAATTCTTAAATTTCCATGACCATTTGAATATTTCTGACTCATTCCTATCACAAATCAAAACCCAGTTTCTTAAAAGTTTCATGTGTGTGTGAGAACAGTGTAGTTAGTGTGTGACCTGCAGCTGAGGAAATGCTGCTGTGTAGGACATCTGCTTGTAGTGCTGGCCGAGCTTCTTGCGGAACGGCCGAAGGCTGTGGAAGAGTTTTCCTCTGCAGATGGGCCGCGACACGCTGGTCCAGGTGGCCCAGAAATTCTGCATCCAGCGCAGAGTACTGCTGTATAGGAGGATTCGGGGCTGGCAAGGCCCTGAGGGCAAAACCCACACAGACAGAGCAAACATGGATTACAGAGAGGCAATTTTTCAAACTTTTACCAACTAGTTCTTAGCCCAAGCGTATGACGGAGACCAAGCTCTCTTAGTTTCATCTCCAAAGGTTAACATTCTGTTTTAAATAAAACTGTTGTCTTATTATAAACTCTGAAGGAGTCAGATTGAAAGATCAAATTCAGCGAGCCTCCTGGCATGCTCTAACCTCTTTCAGAGTTCTGGTTAAGGTCCATGGTGATGGAGAGGTTCAGGTTTTCCGAACGGAAGGCCCTGTAGGAGTCATGTGGCTGTCCTGAAGTCACATCGGCCACATTCTCTGTACAACAGAGCATGACTGCGTGGTGGTCGTGTGGGTTGCCATGGCAAAGCCACTGGAGGTCCAGGGTCATACACAGATTGGGAAGGTGCAGGAAACAGATATCATCATATCTTCAAAGAAATAAAAAAAACAGAATGTGGTTTTAATAATGCTGCTTGTATATCAAGTAGAGCGCTTCATGTTTCACACTGGAAAACTGTATTATTGTCATTAGAAAAAAGTTCACACACTTGGATGCTGTCCTAACATTGACATCCATGTCACCCTTAAAGACAAACTGTCCAGGGTTCCAGTCGAAGTTGAGCTTGTTCCACTCCCAGTGCATGTTTTCTGTAGTATTGTATGGATCCTGTAAAAGAAATAGTTGAGTAAATAATTGAGCAAAACAATTCAGCTCATTCCAACATAGAATTTCAATAACAACCAAATTCTTGAGTGAGAACCTCAGTGGCCAGCTGGTGTAGGTTGGCCTGTTCAATGTCCATGTGCCAGCATCCATGCAAGAGCAGCCTGCTCTTATCCCACCAGGTCAGCAGGGGAGAGGGGTCAGCAGTGGGCTTACTCAACAGATCAACTGCCTGGCCTATCAGAGTCCAAGCAGGGTCCCAGCATGGCCCCCACACAATAGTGTAGAGGGATATGTTTGCTACACAAATAAAAAGAAGTGCTTTATGAAGCTTTCAGGAAATTTTAAGTTACACAGGAAAAAGAAAAATGCATTCAGACTCACAGCTGAGATCATAGTAGAATTTGAGAGGGGGCATGTTCCGGTGGACAGTCACTTCGCCCCATGGCTGGCCGAGCTGAACCACCTCCTTGCGTCGTCCGCGCAATTGCCCGTCCTGCTCTGTCCCAATGAGCCGCCCTGACAGCTCCCAGTCCCTAATTTCAAACAGGTAACGGGGGTAATCCCGGATCCTCACTACAGCACAGAGAAAGAAAAGGTTTAGAACATAACAAAAAGATTTAGAGAACATGGCAAAAATGCAAAAAGCATAAGAACCATCTGAAGTTAAGGCCAGCCTGCCCTTGTTGCCACAATACCAGAAAAAAACCCCAGACAAGCAAAGTGCAAGCACATCATCTCGCTTTCTATCCTCATTGTATGTTCTTATGTTACTGTAGCAATTCTAAGCAATTACAAAATATATAAATTCAAGGGCATGACAGAATACAAATCATAGAGCATGTCAACAGAATTTGTTGTTTAACAGTGACAACAACAATCAGGATGTCCTAGTGTACACAATATACCAAATTAAGGAACAAAATGGCATCATCAAAATACCTCAAACATCTATCATCAATATAAAAAAGGAAGCGTTGATATTTATTGCTACTGTTTTATCTCCCATAAACATTTCAGAAAGCACTGATGTGCAAAATGATGTGGACAGCATTGGAACAGACTTGCGTACTTGCATGCTATATACTTCTGGCCAAACAATAGACTCTTCACTCACCTAGGAAAGCGGACAGCTTAAACCTGACTGCACGGCACCACTGCACTACCAGGGACAGGCCATCTCTGGGGAATGGGCTGACGCCATCAATCTCACGAAGAAGCTGGCGGATTCGCTCAGGGCCATGGAGGGATTGGTCGGCCAACGCCACTAGCTCCAGCTGGGTCAGTGTCCATGTGAGCAGCGACTTGCGCATGGGCGTATTGGCATAGAGGCGTCGAGAGCGCTGGATGTAGATCTCGATGTGTTTGCGTTCAAGTGAGGCATACAGCTCCTCAATCTTTCGGGCTGGCAGCAGCTCACCATGCTGCTTGCGCAGCTCAGCCACCTTGCGGTCAAGCAGCTGGAGTCGTTTGGCACTTTCTTTACTCTCATCCTTCATCAGTTCATAGTTGTCACGCAGCTTGATCTCAAAGATGTCGTCCAAGAAAACGAAGGAGAACTGGCCTATACGGAAGAACAAGTCTGGAGGAAGGCGTTCAGTTTCGGCCGGCTGTGCCACACCACGGTGGAGGCTCTTCAGCCACTTCTGCACGCTGATGGCCTTGTCGAAAGTGCTGGAGAAGTTGTACTGGTAAGGGAACTCCACAGCCAGGGTGGGGAAGGAGAAGAGCCAGGCACGGTTGCGTGGTGTGGTGAGGAATGGAAAACGTGCCCGGTGCTGCTGCAGCTCATCTGGTGGTTCATCTAGCATGTGCACCTCTGGTTCAGAAAAGGAGAAGATGTCATTGCCATCAAAGTTGAACACCAGGCGAGGTGCCTTGATGTGAGTGGCTCCTCGCTGCTTGGAGATGGACAGAGCATCTGCACGGATGATGACGAAGTTCTGCTCAGCAACATACGCAGTGAGCTGGGTGTTGGCCAGATCAACACACATGTTGAGGCTTCCTACAGAAGAGTGTGCTAGAGAGTCTGAGGCTGCTTCCTTCTGCTTCATGTCCAGCACTACTGACAGTGTGCTCCAACAGCTCCGGCTCTCACACACATGCTGATAGAGGAACATGTGATCAGATGGCGTCCACTGCATCGCTAAGGCATCTTGGCTCCGCACCTATGGCCAATGAAGAGTAAATAGGGAAAAATTGTCTCACTTGTTTTACAGCAAGCGTTCAGCAAAAAAACAAACAGATGTACTCAATTTTTTTTTACCCCAAACATAGTAGATCAGCCAAGAGTTGCTGTGAACAAAGTCTGATTCTTTAGCTTCGCAGTGAAGCTACAAGGCAAATGTAGCTAACAAGTTATGCCCCACAAATTTCGTACTAAATCATCACACATGATCAAACCTGATATTTTGTTCTTTAAAAAGTACAAAGCTTTAAGGAGCTATTTTAACACTCTACTGTACCAGAAGAAGAAATGCATACATGCTATACAGAAAATACATTCCATGTGTCAAAATCAAAGACAATGCTTTGCTATTATTTTATTGCTCATTTACTGTTATTAGCAGCAGCTCATGAAGCAGGAAAGGTATGAGAATCTGTCAAGAGTCAGATGTTAAAACATGACAATGAATGAGAGTTCACTTCAAAGCAGAATTTTGCAGGACCACGGTTCACTTCTATGGAGTAGACCTGAGCATGGGGCGGAGTGTTTACACATGAAAAGGGACCAAATTACAGAAAATGTTTGATAGGTCCACACGAAACAAGGTACATTCGAAGGTGCCATGAGTTACATTAGCCTTACAATGGACACCAAACATCACCAGTGTTTGAGGTTAAGAGAACACTTCTGTATTTGAAGTACCTGTGCCTCAGCCAAAGAAGCTACTCAGGATTCCTAAATAATTCAATGTTTAATCAAACAATCAAATCTCTTTGGTACCAAAAATTAAAAACATGGAAGTCTCCATGCAAACTGTTAGGCAAGACAGAGAAGGTTGATGGTGTTAATGTCTGTGGGAAAGTGGTGGTGAGTTACCTCTAGAATGCAGGTGTTCTTCTGGTAGGACACAGCGAGGCTGCTGAGGCTGAGGATTGGACTGGAGGCCTGATCTGCAGGGTAGCATGGCTCCATGCTCTCAGTAAGTGATTTCAGTACAACCAGAGCCACACCCTGCACTGAGACTTGCGAGCTTTCAGCTGAGCCACAAGCTCCTACCGTGTCGACCCGCAGCACAACAGCTCCTAAACCACATCCGTCAAGTGTCCAGGAGCAGGGGAAATATGTTCCAGAAAGGAAAGCATAATCAATTAGAGAGGGCAATTAAAGAAACTGAAAAAAAAATGCACAATAGTCATTGCTAATACCTACCCGCCACGTTTGAGAGTGTGAACACATTAGTGTCCTGCAGTTTAAGCTCGAGTTTTAGGATAGGAGGTAGGCGGCTTGGCAACTCTTGTGTGGTGCAAGGCTCAGGGGTGAGGGAGTTCTGAGCTTGACTCAGTTTGAGGAGAGAGAGCAGGCGAGAGAGACAGAGAGTGCAGGTCTCAGATACCTCCACCTGCAGACCCTGCAGATTGGACTCTGCACTCAAACTTGCAGCAGAAGTGGATTCTACATTCTGTGGCTTACTGTGGCTGACCTGTGAATAAAGAGATAGATGAGAAGCTTTTGTTATTACACTGTGCTAATGAAACAATAATAGTTACACTCTTAGATACACAATTTAATGTCATGACAATGAAGTATTAATTTTTTCATGAAATGTTGATTTTAAAATAGTGGTAAATCCTATTCTTAACATTACTTTGTTGGGGACTATCGGCCTTCCAATGCACCTTACTGCCACGAATTGGGGGCCTAAAACTACTTTAAGACCATGTCTCAGACATTTGGCAGTGTATTACTTATTACTTACTGTAAAGGAGCTTTTAGAGGCATTAACCTCTATCATCACCACTGTGAACAATTCTGACTCTGTATGTATCTCTTCAAAAGAGGATTTTTTCAAACTAGAGGTCTGGATTTCCGTGGGAGCCACAATATGTTGCAGCACGGGGCTAATTTTCAATGTCACGTGCGAGTGTAGGTGCTGAACCAGCCCAGTGCAGAAAGAAGTGGGACAACACGTATCTAAAGAATGTGACACAATGTTTAGGTTACAGCCAGTAGCGGGACAAACAACACGAAACTGTGTTTTATTTTAATGAAAACAGCGATTCCAAACTTCTGAGTGATGATTCCAAACTTTTGAATGGTAGTGTATGTCTGAAGTGATTGGAGGCTAATGGCAACACAAAGGATACTTGTAAAATAAAGCATAATAAAGAGACAAGAATGTCTATTTGTGCTCTTATCTAACAGGAACTTTCCCCAAAAATAATTATTAATATACATCACGCAAACATGGCAACTAAAATAATCCATTAATACATGTAGTATATCACCAGACAATGGCAACTGACTTTATCGAGTTTCTTGAAAAGATGCTGAATATGTGTATGTGTTTACCTGCAGTGTGAAAGAGTCCAGGATGAGGGCCTCCCCCCACACATGTTTGCCTGGTGGATGAGGAGCTTGCTGGATGTGAGAGCCTTGGCCTACTCTCCACCAAAAATGGTCCAGTGACAGAGAAACTCGCTGACTCATATTCAGACTCTGCACAGTTTCCTCTTCTGTACTGGAATCTACCAAGTTCTGCAGTTCTGTGGGAAACATTGCCATTCTCTATTAGGGGTGGTGTCCGTTGCTTAAAATGAAGCTTTTTTTTTCTTTTTTCTATGCCAGTACAGCTTATTAAAGTGCTCTTAAACTTAAAGAGCACACACATGGAAAGAGTGATTTCATATGTAAATGCTGTTAACATTTCAAAACATGCCATTCAGTCCCCTTGTCTGTACTATTTTTTGTGAGTTCATAAAAATCAGCATATTTACATATATTCACCTTTTCAGCCTACAGCAGTTTAGTACCGCCTACTCACACTGAAGTTACAAGGAGTTTTTCAACCTAGACTGCTTTTTTTTTTTAATGAAGCACTATACAGGGCAGTCAATCAAAGCAGAGGTCATTTACATATATCAGGTCATTTACATATATCAGACAGCCTTTTTAATTAAGGAATAAAGAGAGATTGAAAAGTGCTCATGAAAATGGACTGATTGTTTTTGATACATAAAACTACACAAACATCATAAATGAACATAAAGTGGGAAATAAAAACATACAGGAAAACTGTAGGATAGCGGTCTTTTAAGCTCTGTCCTTAATTTCAGTTCAGATGTAACTTCATAAAGTAGCAAACAGAAAGCAAACACCGTACAGCACACCCTGGTAAGTAGCTTCTGGTTGGTTAATACATTACATATAGCAAAGGCAAGTTTTGTTTAGAAAGGATCTTATCTAATCGTACCGGGTTTGGTTTATTTACAACATGGAGTCAACAGCTATAGCAGAGAAACACATATGATACAGAAGGCCCATTGAAAATTTCAGCAGTATTACAAAAAAAGCCCAGCTAACCAGTTTCGCACAATCTCTCTAACCAATCTGCAAAGCTTCATGTCTGTATGCACGTACCTGCACTGGAAGAGATGAAACCTAGAGCAAAGGGCGGAGTGTCTCCCAGCTGAACGGACACGTTAACATTGGACACCAAAGAGCTGATCGTGAAAGGGACATCCAGGAGAGGAAAGCGTCTGCAGGACAAGATGATACTCGCTTAAAGACAGTGCACTGCACACCTTTTGAAAATCCATTAAAATAGAGGCTTGACTGCATGGCGGAATTGAATAATCATACATATTATACATGTGTGTGTGCTTAGTCCTATACATTTTCCTTCCAAAGGAGAACCTAGCATGCTGTGTAGTCCTGGACTACACTTAGTCCCTGTATTGGAATCTAACTCGTATTCATCTTCATAATTTCAATCTATTACTTTTAATTGTCACTTGTTTTTGTACTTTTTTCTGTGTGCAGTCTTCCTGTGAGTGAGCTGTTCCCAGGAGAAAAGATCCAGCCAGTGAGAGAACTCCTGCTGCCTGTAGTGAACGATGCAGGTGCTGATGGTGACTGAGCCACAGACATCCGCTGATGACACCTTCAAAGCAGAGATAACGTTATCCAGCCATTTTGAACACCACTCTGTTTAAAGCATGGCTCTAAACAATATTCTGTCATAAATACAGACATGAGGACATAAAAATACAGAGTGATGAACAGCTAACCTGCAGCTGAGTTTTAAGTGTATTGAGACATATAATCCTCTGCCTGCTCTGCGAGAGAAGAAGTCCATCTAGAAAAAGAGAGAATCAAAGGGAAGAACAAAAAGAGGATGATATAAACTGAAATTTCAAACAGCCAGGTGTGTGTGTTAATGATCAGTGCTCACCCTCCAGCAGTAGTTCCAGGCTGCTGTGTGGAAAACTGAGCTCAGGACTGAAGGCCTTCAGGGGAGGCTGCTCTTCATCAAGGCTATAATCCACCTTCAGAGACTTCAGAGTCCAGTTCAGATGCCTTCAAAAGTAAAACAGTGAACTTCATTATTGTTATTATTGTTAAAAATATTAAATTTATACAAGTACAGTGTAAACATGAACTTGAACCCTTGATCTGCACTCTCACTGCATTCTGTGTAATGGAGCAGTGCTTTGCTGCGTGATGCTATGCAACACCACAGATTTTAAACCATTAAAACTCTAAATAGAACATAAAGGTAACTGCTGCATCACTTAAGGTGGACCAGAAAAGTCGAATACAAAGCCAACTTCAGCCTCTTAAAAAGAGGAACAAAATAACATACAACTAGTTCCTTTTCAAACAATACTGACTACAGTCATGATTTTCTCAGTGCATCACTCCACCCTCCATTATGTGGATTATGCTGATTTGTCATATCAATGTGATCTATAGCTACGCTCAGAATGGCTTTTCCCAACCACTCAACGCGATGCTAGGCAGCGCAGCTGTCTGTTAGCTGACATAACAGAACTGGCGGTTGGCACTTTCCTCCGAGCGCGTTCGGCTGTCCAATGACGTTACATTAGCGGCAGTTAGAAAACATGCGGTGGTGCATCTGTTAGGAGGTTTTGCCCTCCTAACGCTGGTGGTATAGTGTGACTGGGGGAACCAGTCTACCTAGTGGGTGGAATTGGATATGTCTTAATTGGTGAGAAAATTGGGGAAAACTCAAAAAAACAAAAATAAATAACTAAATAAAAATTCAGTGGAGTAGATTCCACTCTTGAAAGACCCTGTTATTTTAATGCAGTAAATGCACTAGATTAAATAATTTATTGTATTTCTTTTTTATAAAATCTGTGAAACGAAAATCATTTTTTAAGATATGTTACAATGAGCCAGAAACAGTCATTTTAGCACAAGCATTTTAGACAGGGGTTCCAACCCTAGTTGTAGTTCATTATCAGATGGAATTCCAATGTCAGACCAGTAACTCAATTTTCCCATTTATCAGTGAAAAATGTATTGTGAACCCCTAATACTACATTAATGTTTTATTATGTGGGTCTTTCTACTTACCGTTTCTGGCTGTGCATGGAAAGGGTAACGTTAGTGTTCTCAAACTCCACATTGACCTTCTGTGGAATCATCCGGTGAAGCTTCTCCACCGCTTCCATCTGCATATACTGATCTTCTGCATGATCTGAAAGATAAATAAAAAAAACCCACATAAGGAAGGTGTAAGGGTAATTCAATCAACATTCTGTGTGGATGACTGGATTTTTGATTCTCTATAAACAGGATTGGCTGATTCACATCTGATCCAGGGGGTTAATTACCCAGACCCAAACTTAAAAGGCAGCATTATGGAGAGGTGTTCATTCATCCACTAGATGAATGAGCGCCCATCATTCGATCACATTTACACCTGAAATTGGTTGATTCTGATCTAGAAAATGACCTCACACCTGTGGTAGTGGTTTTGATGTCTGGATGAGATGCTGCTTTCGTAAGCAGCAGCTGAGAGTGAAACAGCCCCTCATGCAGCTCCGCCAGCAGGGTCCTCACACTTAGAGCCAGTTGACCTGGGCGCAGGTCAGGCAAGCTCACGTCCCCGCTCACAGTCATGCCCAGTGACACCTCCGCCAGACATGTGTCCTGCTGATCAGGGGACAGCAAACAATTTGCAGCTTTATATGACTGAACATATACAGTTAAGAGTATTCAGTTTTAAAGTTTGAACTATTATGCTTGTAACTATTACTAGACTATACAGAGCCAGTATGCACTGGACTGCATTTCTGAGTCAAATTCCAATTAAAATTAGGGATGTGCACAGGTACTTGAGTACCTGTGCACAGGTACTTGAGGTGCCAGTAGTGAAATCTTGAAATCAGTATTCTGGTATTTGTTAGGTTTTATTGGGGGAAGACAGAAAAAAAATAAATGGGCTAACATTTCAGTGAAATGCATCGATTTTGCTTATATTTGCAAGTATGTCATGCTATACTTTGCTGCTCCGAAACACAACTGCCTAAAAGTGAGCATGTTGCCGAGGACACATCGTTAAGAATGTGGCTTAGAAGGCAGAAATAGTACGCCTGTATCACTATCTTGGCTTGCTACTCTAGCTGATGTCCATACACAAAGAAAATACATTTCTCTGACAAGTAACATGTTGGCACATCATCCACTGTGGAGAAAACACCTCATGTAGTAGACAATCAGTCCTCATTAGCATTGACCATGACACTAGTTAGCTCCGTTAGCTAAACAGCTCATCTATTAGCCTCCGTTACTCGTTCAATAAAAAAAACCTACTGATTTCCCTCAACTGTTTTTGTGCAACAGCAGTGTTGTCACCTAAAAAGTAAGCAATATGTTCTGCAAAAGTTATTTTTTTGCTGTTGTTTTTACTTGTTTTTACTACCCTACAGTTAAATGGATATCCATTCATGAACTCGAATACTTGAGTATCAAAATTAGTTGAAATGCACATCCCTAATTAAATGCTCTTAAGACTAGGACTTAATATGTGGCCTGGAAACCTAATAATTGTCACAGATGTATGTCCAAGTGTATGTGTGCTCATAAACAACAAGAGCATACAAACCAGTCTGCTGCTTTTTAGAACTTTACTGCTGAGCTGTCCCACTGAAAAGTCCCAGGCTAACCTGAAAGTATAAAAACAGTGTGACTTCTCAGCTCAGTAAAAGCCATTAGCCATGTCCAAAACTGAACAAGGAATGTTATATAGTATGAAAAAAGCTAATTTTGCACCAGTCACCTCTTGCTTTGGTGATCGAGCAGCAGAGTGATTCCTGTGCTGGTCATGTGCCAGAGAGACTCGGGCAGCAGCAGATTCAGCACCATCACGTTTATGGAGCCGATGTGGAGTGAGAGCAACTGGAGTGGAGAAAGATTCACCAGGTAAGGCAATGTTAAAAAGAGAGAAACAAAAGCTGGAATGTTTTCAGAAGCCTACCTGGGAAAGTAAGTGAAGTGTGGAGGGGCTGAGGGACGGCTTGCGTGGACTCTCCCCATGGTTCTGGGACACCTGCTTCTTGTGGGGCTCCTGTAGGTCGATCCGTACCCGAGTCTCTCCCACACATAGTGCCAAGTACCTCCTGTAACACATGTATTAAACAAATAAGATAACTGGAACACTATGCACACATACTACGCTTTTAAAATACAAGGGAGGAAGTCATGCATGTTGCCTGTTTTCGATACTTACGGCAAATCCTGGTTAACTAATTTACTTGAAATCCATATTTGGTCTATTTCCTACAGGACAAAAACACAAACATGTTGGTTGAGCACTCAGATCTCAACAACAGTTACTGTCATGAAGGAAGAAGACTTCTTTCTTCTTCTTTCTTCGTTTGCGTTCTTGATGGTTTACTTGACAGTTTGGTATGAAAAATTGATTGTGTAACAGAATATAAAAATCTGACACCAAAGTGAGGGTATTGCTAGGAAAATTCAAAGCACTACTATGATACTCTTTAAGTTACTATATGGAGCAAAGCAAAGAAAATTTTATCAGATCTTAGGCACCCAGTTTTTACGAGACTAGAGCTGCTACATTCAGGCCACAAGTTTCTGTTTCCAGCCTTTCAAAAAGGCCACAGCAAAATATTTATTTAAAATCACAACGTCACAATGTGATTAAATTATTCAATGAGAACCATCAAGCAGCTTCAAGACTTGGAACATGTACCATGTTTCCTGAGATCTGTGTAATGTGAGTACTGTGATGTGTACGTCTTAGAATGGGTGACTCTTGTGGTTATAGTGTATATATAGTACACCATAACCATTGGGTAGTTAATTATGGGTTGGCTTCCCAGACAGGGATTAAGCCTAGTCCTGGTCTCCACAGTATTCTGAATAGAGATTCTTCACTGATAGGAAAGTATAGTCCAGGACTAGGTATAATAATAATAAACCAACCCTAAATGGTCTTACTGTTAATATTTAATCTTTGCTGATTAGTTATCTGGTTGTTGTTATTTGACCCTGTTCAATGTCACACCAACTAATTCACCAAAAAGTAATTACTCACTTGGGATCAAGTTGTAGCTACAACTAAATATTTACTCCTGAAGTCACAGATGCCTCTGTGTACAAGCAATGCTAAAGCTATTAGAGCTTGGATCAAGCTATTCATTATTTCCTTGCATCTAGAGCTCCACCTATGAATTTTAGAGTGACATCTCCAACCACGTCCTTCAGCTCAACAGCAAATAAAACACCAGGGAGGAGCACCACTTAGTCTAGCTGTTCTGAAATCACAGGGTGCAACTCTGATAATGAATCCTCTCCAAAAATGGAGTCTCCAAGTTTTAAGCTGCTTTCTTTCATGAGCGAGTGCCGAACATGCCTTAAAACTTCACAAAGCTCACCCACCAGTGTGTGTTGAGGCAAGAACTGGACACTAATTCCTCTGAGTGAAAAAAGGCCCACTGTTTTGATCTTCAGCTCAGCGTTCAGGACGCTGTGGAAGAATCGCACTGCCAACCTGCAGCCAATCCATCTGATGGCACAGAGAAAAGGAAAGAGTTACAGCTTGCACTTGTTTGACAACTTGCCATTTTTTATGATTTGGGGGAACCTGTAGATCTTCTAAGATGTTCAAGCCCTTTCAAAGGTACCAGAGCCAAAGGGCACAAATGTCCTTTTAGACGACGTCAATGGTGCAATGTTACTCATTTATGTGGTCACATGATATTGAGGAAAAGAAGAGAAGGTGTGCAGGTCTAAGCAGAAGTTGAAGGCGCTTTGTAAAAGTAGCACTAAAATCAGCAAAGGTCTATCAGCCTGTAGCAAAGCAGTTACAGGCTGATAGATAGGGTCCTTACCTGAGAATTAAGATAGACACGAGTCCCAGAACCAAAAATACCAAGCTGGCTATCAGCAGGGCAGACATGGTGCTGCTCAGAAGAAAGTTTTCAATTCCAGGTGGCGACCATGGTTTTTCGGTGCAGCATATAGTAACAGACAGGGATGCCTGAGTAACGTTACCTGCCAAACAAGCAAGGCTGAATTAACACTGAACTATAAGATACTGAAAATCAGTGGAGATGAGCATCAATTAACTGTCAGGACTTCAGTCTGCCAAGTCAGATCAATGAAAATATGAAAAAGGCGTGGCTATCTAACATGAACAAGCATAAAATAAGACTTAATTTCCCATAAAACATCACAAAGTTTACCAGTCGTGCTTGCACCGTGCTTTAAATCTACAGGTAAGTGAACGTTTAAAGCGGAGAGTGCCCTTAACTGCCAGCTCAGATAACTTAGCTAGCTAACGCCAGCTAGCAGAGAAGCTAATTACTTTAATACTGAAGCTTAGCGACACTAGCTGGACAGAACAGCCCCGCTGAACAGATATTAACCTAACGTTAATATAACGTTAATAATAGGTTTCTAACTTAACGTTACTGCAAATGAGTCCAAGCATATGGTGCACAGTGGCAGCGCTTTCGCAAGCTTATCAAAGTAACGCGCTAGCGGCTTGTTTGGCTAACGCGACTAGCGCCGTTTTTGACAGGTTCCTGCTGCTTAGCTCGGCTAGCAAGAGCTGCAAAAAACACCGTTAAACGCTGTAACTGGTGTTTTAAACTCCCCGCTGCCAGCCACACTGGTCTGCAACTCCGTTTAATCCACACTGTAACCTTACATGCAAAATATGTTCATTGTGCTTCCAGAGGAAACGTAAACTCCCTTGACTAGGTGGCACTTACATTAGCCGACTTCTTGCTGAAGTGGGAAGGCAGAAACGCTAAGATTTTAACCCCTAAACGACCAAAAAGGCTTTTCCAAAACAACAGTCCCGTGAGAGCGCCACCAAAATGTGGCACTTGATCGTAAAGCCTCTTAAATGCAGTTATAGTAGCCAGCTATAGTAGTTTTTAAAAGTAGTTTGGTGGGGAAACTGAAGGATAAAGGCAAATTCCACAGATTCAGTCACTGAGCTGTAATGAAAGTAAATATGAGAATTCATATTTATATTCATTGTAAATAAATTTACCGGCGGATTTATTTATGTATTTATTTTTACAGTAGTTGTGATAAGAACCCGGGGTCGTGAATCCACACGTCTTAGATTAGGTTACAATAAAAAAAAAACTCAAATATCTCAGACATCAGGTAATATTAAAACCATTTCATGCTTTATAAAAAAAGAAAAAGGAGAAATATTTGTGGTAAGATATAGCAGTTAAAAAACTAAACAAACAAACAAAAACTTTTATGGAGACTATTTTGGTTTAAAAACATTCTGAACCAAAAACAACTTAAAACCTTTGTAAGACAATATCTCAGGCATTGGGCAGCATATTGGTAATAATTTCAGGTAATAACTGTCTGTGCTGCAGCTTTCAGAGGCATTAAGTTCCTCAGCCTTCTGGTTCCTATCACCACCACTGTGAACGATTCTGATAAGTTTCTTTAGACCGGAGCAATTCACACCAAACAACTCTGAATTTTTAATTTTTTTTTTACATCTCAACCATTTAATTAAGCAGAAAATGTGAAAAATTTGTGGACTTTCCCTTTAATAGATTGTGACAATATGCTTAGTACCAAATCAATGAATGAAATGGACTTCAAATTGTCATTCCTACATTCCCTTCTTGTGAAATGACTCAACTGCTACTTTCAATGACTTTCACCACTAGTTGTCATAAAGACTAGTATATATGCTTTATTGATTATTCACTGAGTGATCATCATAACACAGCTTCATCTCATTATTATCACAATACCCTTCCAACAAAATCGTGCTGGCAATGATTCAGATTCAAATACTAAAGAATCAAGAGAGAAATAAATACCATGGTGTTGTGAATCTGAGGCTTTTAATTGTAATGTAGTTCAACACGAACACAATTGAAAGGTGAATGTCTGTTAGGAAAGATGGAGATTCTGATTACATAAAAACAACCAACTACCATTTTGCCATTTTGAAATGTAGGGATTTCTGGAGACTGCAGTTCTGGGACACATTATGCTGAAGCCTTCTGTTTATTGTGTTTGGCAAACCATTCATCGCTCTTATCCGCAGCCATGGCCTGTGAAAGAAACAAATGAAGAACAATAAAGGGGGGGTTGTTAAAAGAACAGACCATCTAAATTCTCTGTACACCAATTTTTCATAAGAGACATCACCTTATCAAGCAACTCATTTCCTTTTGGGTCCATAGCAGAGAGCTGGCGGAAGGCCTCGTCACCCACAAAGCAGATCTCATGGCCGTCCTGCAGGACGCGACAAAGTCTGTAAAGCATGTTGTTTAAGCCTCAGTTACAATGTACCTTTGGTCTGACTGCAGACACTCACAGGATCAGCCAGAATGACCACTTCTACAGTCGCCTTTCCAGGAGTATCCAAGCTGACCAGAGGGGTGAGGATTTTTTGGTTCTCTTTTTTCATTAGAGCCTCGATGCCAGGTAGCTGAAAAATATATACCAGACAGACGTCTTAAACATGGTGTGGTGTAGTACTTGGGAGTAGAAGGAGTTATGTGATGAAAATTTAAAGGAGACTTATTTCACTCTTTTCCCTGTGGAGGACCGATTACCGCAGCAAAGATAGTGCTAATTTCCACTGGTGTTCAAAGCTGTGCTAGCACCAAGCTAATGGTGGAGAATATTTACATTTCATAGCAGCTCTCTAGACTAAACACACCCGTTTGAAGCTAACATCAGACATTTAAGTGACGTATTCTTTACTTTGGATGTTACAGATTGGATGGTGACTCCCAGAGTAAAGATTTAAAGAAAAGTCTCTCTCTGAATATTAATGGAGCCTGTTAGCTTAGCTTGTTGACCAGCTTACTCCAGTGAGGACAGAACATGGTCCAGTTAGCCCACAGAAAGCCTGTTAGCATTAACAAAAATGAGTCTGCAGAATCATAACTAAGTGACAGTGCATCGCAAGTTTACACTGTCCTGTCCATCTGAGATTAGATGGTGAAAGTATGAAGGCTGGGTGAGTGGGTGTGGTTATCTAATTTAATTTTATTTATTTTTATTTTATTTCATTTAGGTTGGCGCTTGCTCAATGTGATGCAGCATCAAGAAGCAAATCCAAACAGCCAACAGAATCATGTTTTTTGTAACAGGAAAGTGGGCCAAAACGGCAGAGACTTTTTCTCACAATTTCTCTAATGGTAGATACAAGATGCATAATGTATGCTATATGGCCAAAAGTATGTGGACACCCCTCCTAATTATTGAGTTCAGGTGTTTCAGCTACACCCACTGCTAACAGGTGTATAAAATCAAACACATAGGCAAACGATCTCCTCACTCAAACACTGACAGTAAGATGAGTCGTAATGAAGAGCTCGGTGGCTTTAAACATGGCCCTGTCATAGGAGGCCACCTTTGCCACAAGTCTGTTTGTGAAATTTCTGCCTTGCTCAATCTGCCCCAGTCAACTGTAAGTGCTATTATTGTAAGTGTTTAGGAGCAACAACAGCTCAGTTACAAAGCGGTAGGCCAGGCAAACTCACAAAGCGGGGCCACTAAGTGCTGAAGCACATAGCACATAAAAATCATCTACTGTATAACTCACTACACAGTTACAGAGTGAGGTCCATATCAACATGGTCTGACAAGTTTGGTGGAACTGCACAGAGCCCTGACTTCAACCCCACTGAACGCCTCTGGGATGAATTGAACACTGATCGCTAGCCAGGCCTTCTTGTCCAACATCAGTGTCTGACCTCACAACTGCTCTTTTGACTGAATGGCCACAAATTCACACAGACACACTACAAATTCTTGTGGAAAGCCTTCCCAGTTAAGTAGAGGCTGTTAAAGTGGCTATAAAGTGTATATTTATATTGGCAAATAAAATGCAGTTTTGTTTTACTACATCATCTTTAAACTATTACACTGAAAGTAACATTTATCACCACCTCACCTGTTCTCGTGGGCAAGAGAATGCAATCCTGCCAAAAGCAGTTCCGTGATCCACAGTAGCCCCAATGTCCTGTAGCTCTAGTTTACACTGCAAACCAATCCAATCGTAAAAACATCAGTTAATGATGCGAAACCAATACATGAAAGGTGCAGTTACGTTCCACCAGATTTTGTTTCAAGCCAATATAACTGTGTAAAGAATAAGTGTTTATAATCTAACCTGCGAATCTGAAAATCCCATCAGTACACTTTTCTTCCCTTCACTTTTCTCTATTACCTTCATCCCCAGCAGAGACGACCAGTAATGTACAGAACGCTGCAAGTCAGACACAGCCAGGGAGACTTTCTGAACTGGGTCTATTCTCAGCCAGAAAGGGAAAAAAAGAGAACATTAGCAGTTAACATTTGAGCAGTTAGCTTTAAGTACAGTTACTGGTGAGTCCTACTCCATACCCACCACTCTCTGGTTGATCTTTATCCAGCAGGTAGAAGCGGTATCCTCCAGGAGCTTCTGTCAAGTAGAGAGCTTCTCCAACCTCAGTAAGTGGCCAGCCTAACCTCTTGGCATTACTGACAGCTTGGCTTGACTGTAAGGTGAGGCCCTGTGCAAACATAATGAGCATAATATGTATATTTGAGCTGAATGGAAGCTTATGATGACCATTCTACTGTGTTTTACTCTAACCGCCACAAAAATCACCTCTTACATGAATAAAGTTAAATAATAAGCGTTCTTAAAAATGAGCTGGTGAAATTTACCAGAAAGTCATTGCCAAGGCGATATTCTCCCACTCCATAGTTATAAGTCAACTCTGCTACGAAGTGATCATCCTCTGGTCCATAGCCCACCATTGTTTTACTCCATTTTCCATCATAAGGTCTGCAAATGAGTAAGCCAAATATTACTCGCCAGATATTCCTGATTTACATTGATTTTGGTCACCTCGCACAAACCTCCATGGGGGCATATATATGCAGCATGTATTGTGTAGAACGTCTTATCAAAGATCCATCAAAGATCACAGAATCCATAATTTATGAAGTTTTAATAGTAAATTGTAGTTTCACATAGTGATGGACCAAAATGGGAACTGTGGGCTGATAGCCGATATTTTTAAAGCTGCACTATGTAAGATTTGGGAATTTGGAGACCATTCTGCTGGAAATGTGTAATTGCATGAATGACGTGGTCCGTAAAACTCCCAACGCCTCTGACTTGTAACTGATTATTTCAGGCTTTATAGCAGGGGTACACAACTCCGGTCCTGGAGAGCCACAGTTTGGAGCTTTCCCTACGCAAACACACCCATTAAACCTGGTGTAATCAGGTGTTTTGAGTAGGTAAAACACCAAACTGTGCTTGACACTGGCCCCTCCAGGACCAGAGCTGTGCACCCCTGCTTTACAACATGACTCGCAGTAGCACACAAACTACATCTCACTGTGTTTTCCTCCTCCTGAATGACATTTCTCTCAGTTTTAATGAAAGATCTTACACCGTGCTGCTTTAATGTACATATCTGACAACATTTATAAAATGTAGAAACTGGGATTAGATGGATTGGATTGGACACCTGGATTGGAATTACAGAAAAATTCAACATGTATTTATATAGGGTTACAAATGCAATAAAATGCATGAATAAAATGCAGATATTTTAGCACCAAGATTAGATGGTGAAGAGGTCCATCCTTACCATTCATACATAGTGTGTCTTTCTCATACAGCACTATTTAAAATAATTAGTCACTAATTAAAATAACGTTTTATTGGGGACCATTAGTCCGCGAAGTATGGGGCCATTAAGTAGATCCTGATAAAAAAGCAGTCGTGGTTTAATCAAAACTGAAACTTAACGACTGAGAATGTACAGCATATACTCAGCCCGCTTGCTTACCCATTGCATGTGGCTTTGCAGCCCTCTTCAAACTCCTCATGGCGCAAAATCTGTAAGACACAGATAAGACATCTGAAGTATCTGAAATCAAGCTTATAGCGAGCCTGTCAGTGGCTGCGCAACAAGAAAGCCAGAAACCCAGAGGCAAAGTCCTCTCCGCGTTCAGCAGAGCAGCCTAGTCCGCTAATAACACAACGTCTGTCTCACTCAGCGGTCAGCTTACCTTCATACCGAGAACATCCCTGTAAAAGGTCGCTGTTTTGGTCCTGTCTCCTACTTTAAAGACAAAATGCAGAGCCCGTCTGAGCGCCATCACTCAACTTCGCAGCTTCCCACTGTTTCTAGAGTCTGTCATCAAACAATCGCCGCCGATCCAGCAACCTGGCGATCGACTGCTCTGCTAATCGACTACGTTCGGCTGTGTTCAGCTTTTCTCCGGCGGAGGACGAGTGGATATGGTCGCATCTCAAATTGCTTCGTTATCCCTACATAGTGCACTACACAGGGCATGAAAGAATTACCCCAAACCAAAACAGCGCGCTTTATGACCGTTCAGTCTATTGTTGAACCCCACATGATTCCCCGTTGAACATATAGTGCACTATTTGTTTGTATTGCCCTTATTTCATGACCTACGTAGTGCACTATGTAGGGAATCATTATGTAGGGAATAAGGAGTTATTTGAGATTCAGCCCATGTTGTGTAGATAGAAATGTAAAATTGTATCGTTTTTTAAAAACAATGTAAACTAATGTAAAAATGCTTGTAATGAATAATAATCTTAAACAATTTAAAAATATATATTTTCTTTCTTTTTTAATTTTTTAAAAGACTCCCTTCTTAAAGCTTCGGCTCGGCCCACAGGCGGTGACGTAACGTGCAAAGCAACAAACATGGCTGCGCTCTTAAGCAGCGTGAGTCTGGAGATAACACTGTTTATGGGCCGAAGTTCGTATTTAACGGGGTCTAACAGCGTCGTGGTAAACTCCAAACGGTTCATCCGAGGTTTGAGGCGGAGACCAGTGGCTGTGCTGCATCCAGGCGGCGAACGTGAGACTCGAATAAAGTCAAACCAGACAGCTGACAAAAGCAGACAGACTCAGAGGGACTCGGTGAGGACAGACTCGGAGAGAAGCAGCAGACGACAAGCTGAAGAAACGACTTTCCACACAGGAGCAGCCGCGAGGAACCCGGGCCATGGCTCCAAATCCACAGCGGAGACTTTCTACTCCAGTGTGAGAGAGCAGCTGGGTGGGCTGCGATTCGAAAAAGCTCAACCTGGAGACAAGAGACTGGCGTGAGTAGAACATGGGGCTTGGACAATACATGGATTCTGCAAGCTACGATACGATTATATTGATTATATTATATCGTTTTACAGATCCTAATTGTATTGTGGCAAAGTGTAATGTAGTGTGACAGATGGCAGATCAGAACGATGTAATCCAAGTATCGTGCATCCACTGTACATCTGACGTATATCACTCGTCCTTTTTACAGGAAGGTGGTGAGTATCGCCCGGTCCAGAGCGTTTCGTGAGCAGCAGGGTAAAGTTCTGCTGGAGGGAAGGCGTCTGATCTGCGATGCTCTGGCTGCTGGAGCTGCTCCTCAGACACTGTTCTTCAGCCGAGTGGAGCGGCTCTGTGAGCTTCCCCTGGACAAGCTGCGCCAGGCCTCGCTGGTCAAGGTCAAGTTTGAAGACATAAAGATCTGGTCTGATCTAGTCACTCCACAGGGTGTTATAGGTGAGTGGAGGCTCATTGCTGAAGATATCAAGAAGGCATACTTGTTTCTGTCTTGTATTTTTCTGTAGTCTAATACTGTCTCCTTCTTTAATTTCTGACTTATTTTTTTACTTTATTCTGCAGCCATTTTCTCAAAACCAGATACATCCCGCCTTTCATTTCCTAAAGACCTGCGACTTCAGACTGTCCCTTTGTTCCTGATCTGTGATAATGTACGGGACCCTGGCAATCTGGGGACCATCCTCCGCTGCGCTGCTGCAGCTGGCTGTGATCGCGTTCTCCTCAATAAAGGTACTGTAACACACTCTTTACATTCAAAAGTATCTGAAGACCTGCTCATCCAGCATATCTTGTGAAATCAGAGGTATTTATAGGGAATTGCCCACTTTTTACTGCAAAAGCAACCTCTGCTCTTTTGGAAACGTTTTTCACTATACATTACTGCGGGGGTTCGATTCCATTCAGCCAAAGGAACATTACTGACATTGGGCTTTTAGGTTTGGTCGTAGATGACTCCATCAAAGGTGTTCAGCGGTGCTTCATCACCAGAGACCATAGCCCAATAACATGGAGCTTTACACCACACTAACTGACACTTGGCATTGTGCCTGGGGATATTTCGCTCCTTCCGAGCGTCCCATTCTACTGCCACTGAATTTCTATGAAGAATGCTATGTGTGAGATTTAACAGTGTGTCAGCAATGGGTCCACCTCAGTGACTGTGTATATACAGTAGTATGAAAGTTTAAACACCGCACCCCCATCAAATTACATATTGATTTTCTAAGTGTAAATAAGTTGACACCATCTACAAAAAACAAACTGAAATATGGCATTTTTTGTTCCATTTTAGTGCTCACTTACTATTTATTTGCTCAGTTTAATTAGTTTATAATTATTATTAGTTTATAAAGTTTAATTACTTTTATAAAAGATAAACCATAAAGGTGCCATGATGTCCCCCCCCACCATTATGTGAAGTTCAGTAAATAAACAGCTAAAAGTGTGCACTCTGTAGAAGACGTATGCTCACTTTCACTTAGAAGACCAACAAAACATGTAATTTGACCGGGGTGCCTAAACTTGCATACAGCTGTATATGACTGAACAACGTGGCTCTATTGACTGGCCAAGCTGAACATCACCATCTTGTTCACATTTGAGCAGTAGATAGAAATTAAAGCCAGACACTGCCCAGTAGAGACGGGAGGCGGGGCAGTCTCCATGATGCCCGTCCATATTAAAGTGGACATGGTGACAGAATTGGACATAGTCATGATGTTTTAGTGCCATTTCAGCTATGTACACTCTTACATACACTAAAGTGGGGCCACAAAGCGTTCTTTGGTAAGAACAGAAGCTACTCACACTCACAAAGGTGTGAACAGTTCTGCCGTTTAAGAACACGTCATGAATCTGACGCAGACTCTAAAGAACCATACATTTAAAGGTTCTTTAGAGAACCAAAAGTGGTTCTTCTGTTGAATCACACTTATAAATCTTTGTCACTTTTATTTTTAGGAAAACGAGCCACTTTGTCCTGAGAGTCTGTCAGGACACAACCTAGGCTCCCCTTCAGAACTGTCAAACTATAAGCTCTTCATTACTTTACATGGGTGTAGGTGAGGTTAAAAATTGTATTGCAGCCAGCCACTAGAGGGCGTCAGAGACAGTTTGGCTTCACATTTGAACCACTGTGTCGCTGTCCTCTCATTTGTTCTCTCCTTGGTATTACTTAAATAGCTTAATCCACTCCTATGAAAAGGGTGCCTAGATTCTTTTGGACATTTAATATACAGACTTTGAAACTAACTCCATACTTTCAAATGTCTCCCTTCTCACAGGCTGTGTGGACGCCTGGGAGCCGAAGGTGCTCCGTGCTGCAATGGGGGCTCATTTCCGGCTCCCTATATTCCCAGGTTTGGACTGGAATGATATTTCAGAGCACTTGCCGAAGCCAGTGACCGTACATGTGGCAGATAACACCAACAAGCTTATGGTAAGGCAAGATGCTGAGGCAGTACCTCAGGATGTTGAAAAGCCAGGAGATGTGGGCTGGGTTTGCAACAGGGGCAACAGCAGTGATAAACACTTGGAGGAATATGTTGAATCAGACTCTGATGCCGATTCCAACTCTGATGATGACTCAGACTCTGATGATGAACAGTCTCTACCATATTTGGAGCCAAAGGCGTACCATGAGAACTGGGCCCAGAGAAGCACAGCTCTGGTCATTAGTGGAGAAACGTACGGACTGAGCTCAGAGGCTCTACAGCTGGCTGAGGAGACTGGTGGTCATAGACTGTCTATACCAATGGCTCCAAGAGTGGAGAGTCTGAATTCAGCAATGACTGCTAGCATTCTCCTGTTTGAAGGCAGGAGACAGCTGATGAATTTGACACAGAAAGCCAGCAGAAGAGCAAGATCTGTGATCCTCCGGTAGCTTTATTATTTCAGTGTGAAAATACTGTTTAGGGGTGCACAGTGATACCAAAATCATATCAGTATTAGCAGATATTTGCTTTACAAAAAAATACTGGCACCAGAGAGATGTTTAGATTTGACCAATATTACAAACTGATATTTGATGACGTATTTATTGTACCCCAGAAGAGTAGAGTGTTTATAAATGAAAAAATATCTGCGTTTTATTTATGTTACTGCATTTCTAACCCTACAGAGAAACATGTTCATTTTCTCTAAATACTAATCCAGGTAGATGGAGTCCCGAATTCCACATTTTAGAATGTTTATGTATCAGCATTGGCTTTAGAGGTGAGCAATATGACGATATTTACTTTTGTAATTATAAATTACGTCACATGCTTTTCTGAGATATTGCAGAAAATTGCAGTACTTGAACACTGATCAGCTGCGTGTTTCATTACAACAAGAGCATAATTAGTCCTGTTTAATTAGATTTAAAGAGGCCAGGTAATGTTCAGAAACAGGGCCAGGGTCCAGCGGCATCGTTCCCATTAGAGCGCTTTTTACATTTTAGCATGAAATTCTGAGACTAAAACACAGGGGTAATTGCTGAGTTCAACATCTATGCAAATACAATATATGTCCAAATACTAGACTGTTTTCTAGGTATTTTGATGTAGTTGTTGTTTACCATACCAAGGTCAAAGGGTCAGTGTGTATGAAATGTCAGAAATGTTCTGTGTGTTTGGTCCTTGATAATCGTCTCTTGTGATGTAATTTGTAGGTCATTTAGCTCTCACAGCGGTTAGAGTTCCCAGAAATCAATGTGTTCTGCATCAATTTCAGACACAAACTAAATGAAAGCTGATTGTCCTGGTTGCTAACAATACTTTACATCTTTTTTCACCCACCATTCGAAAGCTATTGAAGAAGGAATCTGAGTATGCGGACATGAAACCCAACTTCAGTGCTCACAAATCGTGGCTCTCTTGTCACGTTTCGGTGGTGTTATCTTAGTTCTGATTATCCAATAAAAATGAAGTATATCTGTCGGTTGGTCGAATGATGACTTAACTGCTGCTATGCTGTGTTTGGTAAGAGGAGGGATTCTCTCAGAATTGTGTACTGCAGGAGACCCCCCCCCCTTCCCCTAAATTAAAAACTCAACATATATATGATTCACATCAAAAGCATATTGAGCATTCAAAGTGGCAAATTCTGCTGAAAGGCAAGAAAATTGCATGCATGAGTAAAGTGCATTGTGTTAAATGTTGAATAAAAAACACTGTCTTCCTGGTCTTGTTTGGTTTGTTTTTTTTTAAATAAGGCATTGCTGATTCTTTTTTTGTCTGTTCCAAATCATCAAAGCTCAAAAAAATTGTGTTTATTGTAAAAATGGCCTGAAGTATTGATATTTTAAAAATGTATTGGTGAATCAGTAATGTTACATGGATAAAGATGGGATTGTTCTGACTGATGATTTACTTTTGTTGGATTTTATTTGATTACATTAATGATAGGTATGCATCGATACTGATACTGGTATCAGGTATCGGTCTGATACCACACTCATTTACTCCTATTCATAAAAATTCACAGATACCCACATTCTGATACCACACAGCTGATGCTGTGTGATGTAAGCTGAGTGTGGACTGCCATGCTAATGCAGTGAAGGAGGCTCTGTTCACTCAGAGAATAGTTACTGACAGTCGGACACAAAGCTGTCGGTCACTTTAAAACATTCCGCTGTTGTTATATTTCCGCCGGACCTACACTGTGTGATTATGTATTTAGAACAGTCTACAGTTACAGCTGCTTCCTCAGTACAGGTGGAGACATGTAGGTCAGCTAAACAGAGAGCAGTGTCCAGCAGTCAGTGATGGTGTTTTGTGTTTTCCTGATGGGTTGGTATCACAGCGTAAAGGACTCTGATGGTTTAACAGGTGGTCTGTGACTGATTCCAGATGCATTTGATGGTTTCCTAACGGGATCTAAAGGTGTCCTACAGGAAAGTAGTGGTCTCTAATGGGAACACCAATTCCCATTAAAAAGCAAAACCACCAGGCTTTAATCCTAATGGTTCTAAAGGTCTTTTTTCAACAGGGTACAGCTGTACAGAAGCGCTTTTGTGACGAGGAACAAAACCCGCTCTTCTCCACTGCAACGCTACTCGATCCAAGGTAAAGGTAGCTACTGCATCATTTCAAATCAGCTAAACTGATTGATTTAACTGTTAAGGCTGCATGCACTGACACTAACAACTACTTCATTCTAAGCAGGTTACTCCGTATGGTATCGGATTCGGTGGGTCCTAAAAATATGTACTCACATTGATACTCGGCCTGAAAAAACAGTATTGATGCACCCCTAATTAATAACGACTAAAAAAAAAAAACATCTCAGAACTGCAATTGGCCTAAATTTTCACAGCACACAGTAAGAAACATTGTGTGTACATGCACTTAATAATCAGATAACTGCAGAAATCTGATAATGATGGTATTAAGAGTGTACATGTAAATGCACTCACTGTGATTGGACAGAGGTCTTATTTGCATATTGCATTCTTCAGTAAGACCAGCATCTCAAAAGACAATATCACAATAAACACTATACAGTGCAGCCCTAATTCATGTGGTGAAGAAATGCAGCAGAGGGCGGTGCTTAACTCCTGTGTGTTGCCAAATCCGAGAAGTGGGTTAAACACCAGACCAGACAGCAGAGCTAGACAGTGAGTTTTAATGGCCAGGGCTCATCAGAAACACAACGAAGGAGAGACAGAAGCTGTGTGCACTCTAAACGCCTACACTTAATATGGAAACGTGCTATTAAATGCTATTCTGTGCCTCCAAAAATCAGACTGCTTTAATAGAGGGGACCTTCACAGAAAATCCACTTAAAACGTGTCAAAGATGGAAAACAGTCATATTACATCATTACATCAAATATCAACAAGAAGAAGGACTGAAGTCCATTTCTGGATCAATAATAGCTGCATAAAAACGGCTGCCACGCAAAAGAATAGACTGACTCTTCGAGACGCTTCCTATACAGAGATATCAGTTTGTCCATGTATGCATAATAATCAGCACCCATAAGGAGAGAACTACAGCCTAGTGAATGGAGCCAGGTGAACTGGAGGAACATGCCGTTCCTCAGAAATACACTTTATGTACTTTATTCTTCTTTAAAGCAGTATCTGGAAATAAAAGCTAAGTCTTATTAATAAAATAAAAGCAATAAAACGTAGTTCTGAGTCTGCTGCAGCTGTGGGGTTTCTCATCTACTTTATGAGGTTCTATGAATGAAATGCCAAAAAAAAGCAACATAAAAAAAATCTTGGTTGTATGAATTATGAATTTTGCCATCCAGGATGTAAATGCAAGGCACCACAGGAGAGGAGAAGGACTCCAGGAAGAAGGGGTGGGACTTTTGTTTTAAAAAAGGGGAAAATGTCAGTACAAAGTGAGGCTTCTCTTAAACAGTCTCACAGGAGGAAGGGGAAGAAAAGGGAGTCAGGGGACTGATGGGAAGTGTAGTGCTGTCCAGGGTTTCTTTTCTACTTTAAATGGGCTCCGGTTTGAGCTTCTCAGCCAGAAAGTCACTGACAAACTGCTCCACCACAGCCGGCGTGATCTCCTCCACGTCTTTGACGTATTTGGCACGGGCCGACATGTCCAGGATGGTCAGCAGTGGTGCTGCCTCTGGCAGGTTGGTGTAGTCTCGCAGAGAGTCGCTCATGTCATCCTGTGAGAACAGTGGAGAAACTTGGTCAACAAGTGTGTAACACTGGATAACGCCCACAATGCAAACAAGACCAATATCAAAAACAGGGCTGGGCACAGTTTAAAGATTTTTGATACTGATACAACACTGATATCTTTACTTTGAGACCAATCTGGCAGGCCTGGATCATCAAGTTATTGGCCTCTGGGTACAAATGTTTGTTGGGCATCTACCTGGCTAACTTTTTTTTAATAGTCAGGGGGTTTTTAACGATATTAGCAGGTTACATGAGGGTTATGCAGCAACATGAAGGACGCGTATTAACCGCAGTGTTGGCCACATCACTGCTATTAGTGCTAATCGTTTTTATCCAGTCGACATAAACAGTAATGAGAGCACTCTTTTTGACAAGATTTGTGACATTGCTGTCTTTGAAAATAACGCAATACATTTGACCTTTTCTTATGAACCAGCTTTCAACAGCAGTTTGGTAAAAAAAAAAAAAAAAAAATCATTCTTTAAGTAAAACCTGCTCTTCATACCACGAAAGACACAGATATATTTAGAAACATTCAGCTTCATGTTCATGTAGCTGTCTTACATTAACAAAAACATTGCAGATATTTTTCCTTACTTAAATGAAGACTAAAAGAAAATTAAAACAACACTTGTACACAAAACGTCAAGCTGTGACGCCTCGTATAAACGCAGTCTCAATATTTATCACCAAGTCATCTGACCACACTGACTTGTGATGGACACTCGCCTCTTTTTTTGGACCAACTTTCAGAAGTTAGCGAGTGTCCTTTGATGAGCAACAATCAAAGCTAACTTTGATGCGTGAAATTTTGTGCATGAAAGCCTCAGTGGCGAGCCAGCACACACAGGGCACAGCGCTATCTCTCATTAGAGGCGGTGTGGTGGTAAGGAGGCAGGTTTCTTTCTTCTCTCTGCCCCCAGCAGCGCTGCTCGCCCATCCAGCTGAGCCTTGGGCTCTAGAGAGGCAGGGGGCAGCCAGGAGGGGGTACAAAAACACTGCTCCCCTCTGAGCGGGATCTGAGCGGCTACAGAGCAGAGAAAAACGATGAAGAACACAGAGAGTGAGTGCCAGGTGGAATGATGGGTGTCTGTGTGGTAGAACAGCGCCTGAAGAAGCTTTTATTGCATTCTGTCCACTTACATTTTTTTGTGGCTTTATTAATTTTTACATGGCCATTTTCCAACCTCTCCTTATCCCTTAGAATTAAACAGGCTATTTTTGTAACCGTGCCTTTGAGACTGATATGTAAATGAGCTCTCTTCTGACTGGATTCATCATGATGCACCTCATCGTGACTTCACAACTATCATGAATTTAAAACACGTCGTTTCTGCAGCTTAGTTTCCATATATGAAGCAGGTAGACTGGGGAGCAGACAGAACATTTTCAAAGTTGAACAGTGTTTACATGATATCAAACTACACAACCCTCTTCTTTCTCAGATGCATGATGTAGTTATAGTGCTGTGTTATAAGTGCAGTTTTTAACAACCCGCTTATTTGAACAGGAATGTTCATGACTGGTTGCTGTAAAAAAAACAAAACATATGAGGAACATTTTGACTACACAAATCTATCATACATCTCAGAAATACCACCCCATTTCCAAAAAAGTTGGGACACTGTACAAAATGTAAATAAAAACAAAATGCTATGATGCAAATCATTTAAACCCTATACTTCATTGGAATGATAACATATCAAATGTTGAAACTGACAAATTTTGAATTTAATGCCAACAACACAGTCCAGAAAAGTTGGGACAGGGCAACAAAAGGCTGGTATAATTGCGCAATGCTAAAAAAAAACACGTGGTGGTTAATTGGCAACAGGTCAGTAACATGACTGGGTATAAATAAAGCATCCCACAGAGACTGAGTCTTTCAGAAGTAAAGCTGATGCGGGTTCACCACTCGGTGAAAGACTGTGCGAGCAAATAGTGCAACAATCCAAGAATAACGTTTATCAATGTAAAGTAGTAAAGAACTTTTGTTTTTCATCATCTACAGTACAGAATATAATTAAAAGATTCAGAGAATCTGGAGAAATCTCTGTATACGAGGGACAAGGCCAAAAAACAGTATTTGCTAGCTGTGATGTTTGGGCCCTCAGGCAGCACTGCATTAAAAACAGACATGATTTTGCAGTGGAAATCAATGTATGCGCTCAGAAACACTTCTGAAAACCACTGACTTGAAAACAGTTTGTCGCTGCATCCGCAAATGCAACTTAAAGCTCTAAAACGCAAAGAAGAATATCAGAAATAAACAGGATCCAGAAACGCTGCCATCTTCTCTGGGCCCGAGCTCATTTAAAATGGACTGAGGGGAAGTGGAAAAGTGTTCTGTGGTCTGACGAATCAACATTTAAAATTCTTTTTGGAAATCATGGACACTGTGTCCCCCGGGCTAAAGACCACTTAGCTTGCTATCAGAGCAAAGTTCAAAAGCCAGCATCCATGATGGTATAGGGGTGCATTAGTGCACATGGCATGGGTGATATGCACATCTGTGAAGGCACCTTTAATGCTGAATGATATATGCATGTTTTGGCACATATGCTGCCATCCAGATGACGTCTTTTTCAGGTAAGGACTTGCTTATTTCAGCCAGACAATGCTAAACCACATTCTGCATGTATTACAGCAGCATTGCTCCATATTAAAAGAGTATGGGCACTAAACTGACCTGCCTGCAGTCCAGATCTGTCACCACTGAAAACATTTGAAAAATATGAAAAATACAACAAAGAAGACCCCGAACTGTTGAGAAGCTGAAATCCTGTATCAAACAAGAATGGGAAAACATTTCACTTTCAAAACTACAGCAATGGGTCTCCTCAGTTCCCAAATGCTTACAGCGTGTTGTTAAAAGAAGAGGTGATGAAGCACAGTGGTAAACAGGCCCCCATTCCAACTTTTTTGGAACGTGTTTTTGGCATCAAATTCAAAATGTGCATATATTTTTCAAAAAAACAAAATTTGTCAGTTTCAACATTTGATATGTTGTCTTTGTAGTATTTTCCTTTTAAAAGTATAGTTTACACGATTTGCATATCATTGCATCCTATTTTTATTTAAATTCTGCACAGTGTCCCAACTTTTTTGGAAATGAGTTTGTACTTAATTCAGGAGCTCTGTTTTTAGAACCAACTTTACATGAGAGGCCTACTTAAATAAGAAGAGAATTCCATGATTTCATGACTGAAAGGTTATTTCACATCCTGCATGGCCCACTCAAGTGTCTCACATTAAAGAGAAAACTAAATTTTCCTCGCTCTTTGGAAATGAAAGAGTTTGTTGTACTATGTAAACACTGTTAAAGTTCCAAAACACAACATTCATTTCCCAGTTCATACAGTCCATATATGGAAATTAAGCAGCAACAACAGCCCACTGAATTCAATATTTTTGTCTCAAAAGCCAACACATTTACATATATCCAGCCATTCAGCCTGTAACAGTTTAGCTCCACCCATTCATTTTGAATGAGGCACAATACAAGGCAGCCAATCAGAACAGAGTTCATTTACACAAACAGCCTGTTTGGTTCTAAGGGATGAAGAGACGCTGGAAAATGGCCATGGAAAAGTGAAAAACATCAGGACATTAGGGACAAAAATAAAGAACAATAATGTAGGATATGTGCCTTTAAGCAATATAGCCACATTAAAAGTGAACTGTGAGGTACATAATCTCTTAAAACAACCGCACGCATTAAATGAATGTTAAACAGTCCTCGTTTTAGATGCCAAGATTGGGGGAGGAGCCGGGGCCTTGCTCTTCATGGGCCAATCAGATCTCTTTGCATATTAAGAGGGTCGGGCCCATACTGAATCCATGATTGATTTTATGACCAGTGACAACCAACAAATGAATCCAATTTCAAATTAATAATCATTTAACATTTTTTGTCAGTGCAGACGATGATGTGGAGGCCGCGAGCTACAGCTGGCGCCAGCCCTGATTAGAAGCGTTTATATTTATTTTTAAAAAAAGATGCTTGGATGATTCAGAGAGGGGGAGGGACTTCTAAACACACAATGAGACAGAGAGAAAAGCCAGCTCACTCCCTGCGTATGTCTTTTATTGCTCTTTTCCTCCAGACCTGCTTCGATCTTTCTGCTCTTAACGACTCAGAACTAGCACTGGAATCCCCGTCAGGAGAAGCCTGACAGAACTCTGCAATACACACAAATCCCATCAGGACATAGCATCAGTTAGAAAAGAAGAACAGTACATATTCACAGTTTGGCAGTGGTGTTTATGGAAACTGCAGAAGTCCTGCTTCCTCTCCTTGAGGAATATACCTTGTGCTTGATAGAAAGATGGGCTTCCTTTTCCTGTCGCGACCACACTTAGGACCGACAGCCCATGTCTCACTTTCACATGATACGATGATCCTATTTTCCCCTCATGTAATCCCGCTGAATTAGAGAGGCTTGGACAGGACACTTTCATATGGAAAGCATTACTTCGCAATCAGAAAATATGAACTAGTGTCCACTAGGTGGCAGTACATTAAAGGCCTGCTTCAGAAAACACAATTACAGCCCATCCATTCCAGCTCTGACTTCATTCCAGTGAAACTATGAGCTATTCCATGTAACGGTAAATGCATTAAACCGCACAATCAGATCTCAGCTCTCTAAAAGAATTGCTTCACTGCTTTTGCTACCTAAAAAGGACAAGAGCGGCCAGCGCAGAGTTGGTGACCTTAGCTTCTTGCAAAACTGCTTACAGATGAATCCGACACAGCAACAACAGGGCAGCAGATTCATTGCTGATCTCTAACTTATATCGAGAAAACGAATGGCGTTAATTGCTGACCTACAAAGTAAGATAAACAGTTAACTTTTAGGCTAGAAACATTAATTAGAAACATCAATAGGGGAAAACTACAAGGATACTGTGGCAGTGTTGATTATGTATTTCCTGTGATGCAGTACAGGCAAAAAAAACTGCATCAGGCAGGGGGTAAGGC